CGCAGAATCACAAAAAAATCAAAACAAGCCCGCCTCTCGTGATCCTCACATCCTTCACTTTACACAGTACTCTCTCCACCAGTTTAGATAACTCAAATGGTTTCTTCAAGATTGGTACTCTGCTCAGCTGCTCCTTATTAACAAACCGTACTCCTACTATATACGAAGGGTCATTCTCATCACTGTACCCTACTTTTCTCCTTTTTCCATTATTTTGAACAATACTCAAATTCTCCTTGATTCTACCGCCATTGTATTCAGATTCCACTTCATCATCTGCTTCCGCCATCTTCCTTCTCCAACGTTCGCTTCCTGCCAGCCTCCAACATCACAACCACGCACTTACCCCGTAACCAAATCGTCGCTAGATCGAATTACTTGAGGCTTATTCATGTCCACGTATGTCACGTGCTTGCTATTACGCCCCTTTTAACCCTTTAAATCGTTTAGCTAGAGCAATTGCGCGTCGCCGAAAACTGTACTTGTAATGTTAGCCACTAGAGGTCATGAGTGCTATAATATATTTTTGGGAAAATAGAAGCTACAGTTTATCACATCAGAAAAAGAGTGCATACTTTCAATATGACCTGGACTAGAGTACACAGTATGTCATGTTTGTTTCTCTGTCTGCATTTATATATCCTTTATCTACATCTTTACTCAGGTCCACAAAAAGAGCATGAAATATGTGTGTTTTGCAATGAAGCACATAAGTTACATTTAATTCGTTTTTTGGACATTTAGGCTCTATCATCATTCGTAATCTCTCTCTCTCGTAGGCTACAATCTAAATGGGATGTAAGTGAGTGGATCGCTGATCACTAAATTAATGACATAACCCATTTATGACCCTGATGTGAGTTTATCACCGTAAAAGTCACCTCATGACTGAGGAATAGGCGATGGTGTATGTATAACACTATACATTTATGGTATAAAACTTTACTTTAACATTATCTCTCCATGATAGCTTCCTGTCCTAAACATTTCACACTCTGTCCAACTGCACTTGGCTTTAAACTTTTAGTTATAAATAGTTAATCCTTTAATACCTGCATTGTGGATTACCTAGTTTATCCTGCTGCTCCTTTTAGTCTCTCTTGTCCAAGCAGAAGACAGGGAATACAACCAGAATACTGAGGAGTGGGTTAGGCTATATCCAATAGCTGAACCTGGGCCAGTATCAATATAGCTTCTCAGAGTAAGAGTGCTGATCTTAAATCAGTTTAGCCTTTTAGATCATAAGGAATAAGATTGCTTTGACAGAGGGGACCTCATCCTAGATCAGCACTCCTCCTCTGAGACCCTTTATAAATACAGGCCCTGAACTCCCAGTCACCCCTCAGTCTGATCAGAGCTTAGCCAAGGAGCAGATCAGATATTTCCCTCTGCCACATGAGCATGTGTTTGGAATATGATCATTTGGTACAGCATTAGTGGAATGCATGACCAAAGGCAGCATGACAATGTGACTTCTATTTGCATTCATGTTTACATCTGTGTGCTCAAAACAGGCACCACAGAGGCCTACACCAAACTGGTTGCTGGTATTTCTGAATTGCATGAGCAATGCTTTATTAGTAGAAGGAAAAGAGCAATAGAGTCAATTGATATACAAACCTTGAAATTTTTTGAAACATCTTAATATTTGCTGACCTTTTCTACACTCCTTTTGGCTCATATAAAAGGCAAATTTTATTGAAAGAGTGCTTTGTTTGAATTGTGACCAATATGAACAGTGTGAGGGCTATAATCAGTACCAATGGCCTTTTGCAATGGCTTTGTTTATGTTAATTGAATAGTGATTTAATGTGGTACTGTGTGTGTTTGGAAGGAACACAGTATTGACAAGGGCTGCTTTGGACATGGCACTCTATTCCCTAGTGCACTGCCATAGGGTTAGACAAGGAGCCATATAGGAGGAAAAGTTTCAGATGGATGGAGAGAAACAATGAGGATGAGAATTGGCAGAATGGCCAGCACACTGCCTGACCACTGCGTAGGTACTGACAAAGAGATAGGCATACTTCAGCCAGTAGGTTTGCATTGCTCTGATGTGACAACAGTGGCTGTTGGTGTGGCATTTTACTGGACAATAGCTGCTATGCAGCAGTTTGGAGTTAGATCCCAATGTTCTGACCTTGTGTTCTATCCGACTCAGAGATTCTATTAGCAGCAGCTGACACGGTCTGAGTCACACCATTATCTGAAGGTTATATCTATCGTCACATGCTGAAATATCAAGATCACAAAAAACGTCCTGAATTGAAATATAACTGACCGCAGCCCTGATCCTCTGAGACAGTAGCCTACTATTGTTCTAATAGAGAAGAATCCTCAGATTACTGTAATGCCTAGTCATTCAGCTTCATGGGAAGTGCAGATGTGAGCCAAAGTACTGAGATCATGTCAGTATGATTTCAATTGTTACTTGTTGCAGAAAATGACTGACCTTGACTTGGTGCATATAATACATAAAACTCACACACACAAGTGGGCTACAGGATAGGCTACAGAATAGAATGAGGCACCTGAATAGGCTACAGCTGTGCTAAATGGGATATATTGCTACATTGTTGTGGAAATAATTATCTCTGACCTGTCAATTTCCTGCCTTAAATTGCATTCTTTCCCCATACAGTTTTTTGTTACTGTGATGAGATGTTTTCTTCTTCTGGAAGTTCATGAATGTAAGAAATGTGAATTGTCAGTCACTCTGAAATGAAGGACACATCAGTTTAATCTGTATTACAAACCAAGCTCACTGTATTACAAACCAAACTCACAAACCAAGCTCACGATTAGTTTTATCTCTATGAATAAGATATACTAATATTATATAAAAAATGTTAAAAGTTGCTCTGAGAGATCAAATCATAATATCTAAGGATATGTAGTGTTTAATTATAGTATTCATAATTGATAATTTGCTTATCATTAGACAAGTAGACGAGAAGCCACACCTTCCTCGTGGCCAATCGCCAGCAATGACGCGAAGAATATTAAGAATTACTTGTTCGAAGTAGGTGGAAGTTATCGATGGGACTTCGGTAGCCTTCATCTCTATAAAGTTGTCATTGCGATTTTGTTCGACGTTATGACTAGTTGCCGACAACTTTAACGAACACGCCCTCTAGGAAATAATTAAATTGACATTGCTAACTAACTAAGTGGTAGAGGAGAAGCACATTCACCACGACGATGATAGCCTCTCATCTTCTGGCTTACTACTTCACGGAGCTCCACCATGACAAAGTTCAACAAGTAAGTGCCTAGAAAACATAGCTACACGTCTTTGCTCTTTTTATGTTATTAAAGAACAACAAATGAACATATTTTCAAGTGATATTTGTTCGTTGACCGGTTAGCTAGCACTCGAAAGAAGAGGTTACTTGGAAGTACGCCACACGTGTCGTGTGATGACTCGGATCATGTTGGCATTGCGTCAGTGGAACGTCTTGCTAGTTTCTTTGAGCCATTTACCATTGTGTCGAATTCACTCATAGGAGTGGTAGCTAAATAGTTTTATTTTCCCGTCAAATGCCCCACGTCAATGTCTATCAAAACTAACTCAATTAAAGTTGAAGACACTGACGAGATATGGCCAAATATTATTCACTTTTACTGACTTGTTCAATATGCAGTAAGAGCGCATCTTCTTGTTTCCGCATTTCAATGCCAGAGCGAGAGCCGTCGGCCCTGTCCATGGATGGCAGCAAGAAATAGCAGCACTGACCTAGCAATGTTTTGATAAATAGACTGTTGGCATGTCAGTTTAGCTTGGCTGAACCAGAAACTTAAGACTGTCTACATCACTGACCTAAACAGGACTATCCACATAATTAGACACAGGATGCATGCACACTTATCTTTACATCAGTAGTAGGCGAACGTTAAATGGTTGTTAAATTGAGCCTACGGTGAAGTGCTGGTACGTAAATCCAGCCTGGTCTCATAGACTAGACGTAACATGGTAAACTTAAATCCGGGACACACAAATTAGTATGTTACTTCTTTTTCGATGAGGTTTAATGGCGGTTGGCATCCAATTTGTTGCATTACCGCCATCTACTAGACTGGAGTACAACTCCTTTATATTTTGCTTGAAAAAAATAAATAAAAAAAATACCCTACCATCTAACACTACACTCACAAATTCAAAAATATTATTAATAATTAACACCACCCTACTCCACTATTTAAATATATTAATTCCTACCTCATGCCCTCAACCTGAAATGATGGGACATCACCACTTAACACTCCTTGTAACTCTTCTGATGTTAAGTCTCGCACACCAAAATACCTCTCTGCAGCTGCCACCACAACCTCAATTTTCTTCGACTTACATTCCATCCCTGCAGTACAATTAATAACCATTGCTATAAATGCTAAAAATCCAATCTTACTGAAACATACATCACTTGTTGGCCTATCCCTCTGTACTGGTACATACCTACTACTCTCACCACTCCTCCCCCTTGACCCATCTTCCTCTACTTTCTTCACTGCCTCAGCATATGACAACTTCTTCACTACTCTTACCCTGGAAACCTCAGACATTTCTGATCATGAGTATGTTACATTTGGTATGGTTACATTAGACATATAGTTACTTAAGTAGATTGGTTGGTTGGTCGGGGTGTGAGTTCAAATCTCATGGACAACTTTTGCATTTAAGCTAATTAACAACTTTTCAACTACTTACTACTTTTTAGCTACTTTGCAACTACTTAGCATGTTAGGTAACCCAAACCTTAACCCTTTTAGCTAACCCTTCCCCTAACCTTAACCCTTTTAGCTAATCCTAACCCTTTAACCTAACTCCTAGCTAGAATTCGTAACAACACATATGTTTTGCTAATTCGTAACATATATGAATTGTAATTCATAACATATCATACGAAATGGGTGATGGGACATCCACAAATTAATACATACCATACGAAGCGTAACACATCACACTAAATGGAATATCTTGGCTTTACGTACAGAATAATATGAAATGCTCTGACACCAGGTTGGTAAGTCATCTTTCTTTCACCCATCACCCTCTCACTCACCTTTAGGTTTAGATTCACTACCCCAAACACACACACTCACTCCCTCTCAGCTGTGCTGCATATGTGGCAAGGGCAGCATCTATGAGAGCTTTGTGTTGCTTGTAGCGGGACAGGGGTATTTTGTGACATAAAATTGTAGCAGATGTTGATGCGGGTGTAGCGAAATGCTTATGTTACTAGCTCCAACAGTGCAGTAATATCTAATAATACACACACATTTAAAAGTAAAGAATGGAAATATAGAAATATCAGGATGAGCAATGTCGTAGTCCGGAGTATAAGTGTGTGTGTGTGTGTGTGTGTGTGATGTATAGACATTATGGACAGTATGTGGATAGAATATGGAGTATATCTGAAGAGTACATGGATGGAATAGTATATGTACAGCAATAGTTGAATAGGATGGCCTTGACTACAATACAGTATATACATATGAAATGAGTAAAACAGTATGTAAACATTATTAAAGTGAGCAGTGTTCCATGTCTATGTACAAAGGGCAGCAGCCTCTTAGGTGCAGGGATGAGTAACCGGGTGGTAGCCGGCTAGTGATGGCTATTTTAGTCTGATGGCCTTGAGATGGAATCAGTTTTTCAGTCTCTCGATCCCAGCATTGATGCACCTGTACTGACCTCACTGTTGCGCCGCCTTCACCACAATGTCTGTGTGGGGTGGAACATTTCAGATTGTCAGTGATGTGTACGCCGAGGAACTTGAAGCTTTTAACCTTCTTCACTGTGGGCATGCTCTCTCTGCTGTCTCCTGAAGTCCACAATCCGCTCCTTCATTTTTGTTAATGTTGAGGGAGAGGTTATTTTCCTGGCACCACTCTGCCAGGGCCCTCACTTCCTCTCTGTAGGCTGTCTCGTTGTTGGTATCGCACCAGTCCAGACAAACTCACCAGCTGTGAGCTTGACTTGCTAAGTCTGTAAGGTGCGGGCACAGACTGTACTACTAGCATCAGACTTAATTGACATTTTACAGCCCCATCTTAGGTCAATAAATGTCACATACTTGTCCTTTTTGATCTGCCTGCTCCGTCACTGGCAGCTACATTTGGGCTTCTCACCCTTCTGATCCATTCTCTCTAGGCTAGTCTGCTTCACCCTACTTACGCCATGACACAATTATGATTCCTGTCCATAGCCGCGGGAAGTAGGGGTGCTGCATCGCCCCCTGATACATTGAAATAATTTTGCCAAAATTATATAATTACTCCTCTCTGAACACTGACTGAATTTGGGCAGCACGCACGCCAAATAGCAAACAACTTGTGTTGCAGTCATAAGACTATAATCCATAGAAGGGTTTTGGAACCTCTCACCCAGGAATTTGACTGGTAAACTCATGGGTATGCTCAAAATGGCTGCCAGTTCTGACTTGAATGGTCAATGTCATTCTATGGATTATATTTCTCTTCGCGCTGTCAGTGAGTAGCAACATTTTAGACCCTACAGGATTCCACGATTCGGTGATCACCATTTTTTGTGTGCAAAATAAACAATTCCCTGCATATTATCAGTGCATTATTTCTGCATAAAACAGTCAAATCATCGCAACAATATCTCATGAAACTGACCCATCACCCCAGTACAAAAAGAGGGCTCGCAATTTCAATCAATCAGTGCACATCTTCCGCATAATATGGTTCAATCAAGCCACACGTCAAGATTTTTTCCCTCAGTGCATTTCCGCTACAAATTGCACCAAATCCAGAGTGTCAGAAATTTACATTTTACATTTTAGTCATTTAGCAGACGCTCTTATCCAGAGCGACTTACAATTAGTGAATATATATATATATATATATATATATATATATATATATATATATAAATAGCATCACAATGCTTCCGTGCACAATGAAAGGTCCATACAGAAGTGGTTTGTTGAGATCGGTGTGGAAGAACTTGACTGGCCTGCACAGAGCCCTGACCTCAACCCCATCGAAAATCTTCAGGATTAATTAGAACGTCGACTGCGAGCCAGGCCTAACATCAGTGCCCGACCTCACTAATGCTCTTGTAGCTGAATGGAAGTAAGTCCATGCAGCAATGTTCCAACATCTAGTGGAAAACCTTCCCAGAAGAGTGTAGGCTGTAATAGCAGCAAAGGGGGGACCAACTCGATATTAATGCCCATGATTTTGGAATGAGATGTTCGACAAGCAGGTGTCCACATGCTTCTGTCGTGTATGTGTATATCTCTACTCCTAATACTGTACAAGCTGTCTTTTTATTTTCCCTGGGCCAGGTCAAGACCAGGTCATTTTTTATTTATTCATTATCTGTTTGACAGTGTCAGTAGCCACTAATTTCAGTCATTTGTGTAGTATTAAAAAAAATACTGATAATTTCTCCTGTCATGTAGGCATTAATGACGTAAAATTAAGGCCTACCATCAACTCAAAACATATTCTCGTGGCTATGGGAGTGTCATGTCTCGACCATTCTTCCCTCGCTACTTTTCCCCTCTACCCTTCTATTCCGGTGTGGTTCTGCTATCTAGGCCTGTCTCCAGTTTCAGATTTAATGCTGTACAGTCAGTCTGTCCAGGTTGCTGCTGGAACGTTGTGTCCTGTCAGTGTATCAGATATGTATTAATCACAATCTGTTGCTTTGGTGCTAGCCAGGACATTCACGCCAAGGTGACTTAAGGGGATGTGTCCCAAATGCCACCCTATTCCCATATAGTGCACTACTTTTGACTAGAGCCTTCTGGTCAAAAGTAGTGCACTAATATGTATGTGTGTGTGTGTGTGTGTGAGTGTGTATATATGTACAGTTGAAGTTTGAAGTTTACATACACTTAGGTTGGAGTCACTAAAACTCGTTTTTCAACCACTCCACAAATTTCTTGTTAACAAACTATAGTTTTGGCAAGTCGGTTAGGACATCTACTTTGTGCATGACACAAGTAATTTTTCCAACAATTGTTTACAGACAGATTATTTCACTTATAATTCACTGTATCACAATTCCAGTGGGTCAGAAGTTTACATATGGTAAGTTGACTGCCTTTAAACAGCGTAGAAAATTCCAGAAAATGATGTCATGACTTTAGAAGCTTCTGATAGGCTAATTGACATAATTTGAGTCAATTGGAGGTGTACCTGTGAATGTATTTCAAGGCCTACCTTCAAACTCAGTGCCTCTTTGCTTGACATCATGGGAAAATCAAAAGAAATCAGCCAAGACCTCAGAAAACAACAAATTGTAGACCTCCGCAAGTCTGGTTCATCCTTGAGAGCAATTTCCAAACGCCTGAAGGTACCATGTTCATCTGTACAAACAATAGTACGCAAGTATAAACACCATGGGACCACGCAGCCGTCATACCGCTCAGGAAGGAGACGCGTTCTGTCTCCTAGAGATGAACGTACTTTGGTGCGAAAATCAATCCCAGAACAACAAAGGACCTTGTGAAGATGCTGGAGGAAACAGGTACAAAAGTATCTATATCCACAGTAAAATGAGTCTGATATCGACATAACCTGAAAGGCCGCTCAGCAAGGAAGAAGTCACTGCTCCAAAACTGCCATAAAAAAGCCAGACTACGGTTTGCTACTGCACATGGGGACAAAGATCTTACTTTTTGGAGAAATGTCCTCTGGTCTGATGAAACAGAAATAGAACTGTTTGGCCATAATGACCATCGTTATGTTTTGAGAAAAAACGGGGCGGCTTGCAAGCCGAAGAACACCATCCCAATCATGAAGCACGGGGGTAGCAGCATCATGCTGTGGGGGTGCTTTGCTGCAGGAAGGACTTGTGCACTTCACAAAATAGATGGCATCATGAGGAAGGAAAATTATGTGGATATATTGATCTCAAGACATCAGTCAGGAAGTTAAAGCTTGGTCGCAAATGGGTCTTCCAAATGGACAATGATCCCAAGCATACTTCCAAAGGTTTTGGAAAAATGGTTTAAGGACAACAAAGTCAAGGTATTGGAGTGGCCATCACAAAGCCCTGACCTCAATCCTATAGAGAATTTGTGGGCAGAACTGAAAAAGCGTGTGTGAGCAAGGAGGCCTACAAACCTGACTCAGTTACACCAGCTCTGTCAGGAGGAATGGGCCAAAATTCACCCAACTTATTGTGGGAAGCTTGTGGAAGGCTACCTGACACGTTTGACCCAAGTTAAACAATTTAAAGGCAATGCTACCAAATACTAATTGAGTGTATGTAAACTTCTGACCCACTGGGAATGTGATGAAAGAAATCAAAGCTGAAATAAATCATTCTCTCTACTATTATGCTGACATTTCACATTCTTAAAATAAGGTGGTGATCCTAACTGACCTAAAACAGGGAATTTGTACTAGGATTAAATGTCAGGAATTGTGAAAAACTGAGTTTAAATATATAAGGTGTATGTAAACTTCCGACTTCAACTGTATGTATGTGTATGTACATTTTACATTTTAGTCATTTAGCAGACTATCTTATCCAGAGCGACTTACAGGAGAAATTAGGGTTAAGTGCCTTGCTCAAGGGCACATCGACAGATTTTTCATCTAGTCGGCTCGGGAATTAGAAGCAGCGACCTTTCGGTTACTGTCGCCCCCCCCGTGTGTGTGATGCAATTTGGGACGCAGCCACTGTACCAGGGTCTTGCCTTACTTACTGGCGCCGGGCCACGTGATTGTGCAAGGCAGCAGTCTACCACTTTTATCAATGATATCAGCATGTGTAGGCTATGTTGTGGTTTGGAGGCTTTTACTGTAGATCAGCTAGGCATTGAGACTCATACAATAAAGCCAAAATATTTGGTTTGTGGTTTGCTAGCCGTTTTTCACTCGTCTCATGTGTTCCCCCTTCCTCCAGTCACATGCTCCTTGCTGCCGGACCCGTTTCGCAAGCCAGTGAGGTTGTGTGGTTCCTGGTATTTAGATGAGTGTGGTTGGGCCATGTGGGAAATCAGCTGCTTGTACATATGGCTGCTGCCTAGCAGAGGCATTCAGTTCCTGGAGTTGGAGCCAACCAGTAAAGCAGGGGGTGGGGTTAGTTAGCCCTGGGGAAGTGTGACTTCCAGTACAATAAAATGTTGTCGGAGGAAGGATGTTTGAGATGAGAGGCCTACAGAGATAGTCAGATTTGGCTTTGATGGTGATATGATTGAAGGAAAACAAATGGATCTAGGCCTATTGTAGACAACGTGCCTAACAAATAAGATAGAGAATTATGATTTTCCATAGTGTAGTCTCTCTGACTGCTTGTCCGTAATGTCACCCAGACTGTGGAAACATTCACTCTGTTCTGATTCTGAAACATTAATATTATCATGACAAAGCGGGCATTATCAGATGACTGTTGGCATTTCAGCCAGGGGAGATTGTAGTATGATAAGATGTAACTTTGACAAGATGTAATGCCACTGTCCCTACTGGCTCCGGACCATAGCTACGCACGCGCATGCATGCGCACACACACACCAGGGTTTCCGTTAGGACAACGTGACCGGGAATCACATTTAGATTATGGTAATGCATCTTAACAGGACATGCAACTCCTGTAATGAAGCAGCCAATAAAACATATTTTTCAAAACATTTGCCAAAATGCAATTCGCAGGGAAAACACCATTCTAAACCGTGTACCTGATGACAGCGGTTCCATATGTGACAGAGATTAAATTCTCTGTTAGAAACTTAAAAAGAGGGGGAATCTAAAGATGCAACAACAAGAATGGGTTGCTAGTATGACTAGGATTGTGCCTTTGGCTTCTGGACAAGGAAATAAAGTTGATATGAAAACCAATAGAACAAGAGAGAAATGACATTGAAGCAGGTTCTCTAGGCTGAAATAAATTTGCCTAAATTATAAAATTACTCCTGTCTATACAGAATTAAATCATTCAAAATAATTCACCAGAAAGCATGACTTAGCCAAAGAAGAATTGAGGATAATTTGCTTCAAATCACAAGCTCATAGGCCTATGTCTATTTGGGCAGCGGGAGTGGCAATAGGCCTAGCTGATTTGAGTTGCGGCTGTCAGTGAAAAGCATTAACAATATGTGTGAAGATAATGTGTCTTGATTATAATTTAAAATGTTGAGATGAAGAAGAAGGGGAGGGGTGTGTGCTATAGGCAAGTCTCTCTCCAGAATGGCTCAGCTGTCTCTCGCCAGTTCTTACACATTCATTTTGTCAGTGTGAATTGTTTGCCCTTTGATTGTTTTATTTTTTTATAAATTGTCAATTACAACAGAATGGCTGAGTAGAGAGATGACTGCGATTAGAAATAATCTGAATTTTCATTTTCTAGTACTGTTTTTATTTGTTAGCTTTGTATTTTTTTTACTTAGTTGACAATAGAGGTTATAGGCATACTGCTGCATTTGTCTATAGGCTATGAGTTCCATGCGCTCATTTCTTAAGCCGCCAATGAATCACAGTATCAATGTGTCCATATGGCAGAGGCTGGTGCTCTCGCATTAGTTGAATTTTATTCAGATTTTTATCTTTAACCATGTGACAATGATTTTGAGAAACATTTTATTTATTTATTTATTTATTTATTATTGAAATGAAACTGTTCCACAAATGGTGAATGGGAGGCGCGCTTCAATTACCAGTTGAGAAATAAAAATAGTAGCTCATTTTAATCATGCACTAAAACAGTTTTTAACATGCGATTGCATTTATTGTTGGGCAATGAACGGGCGTATAAACGCACATATACATATATATATATATATATATATATATATATTAGGATACTACAACAGCAACCAGCTGAGCCGTTGCAGGAGATATGCCTCTCAAGATAGGCGCTGCGCGTGTGTGATAGTTGTGTTGGATAAAAAAGATGCATGAAGACTAACGAAAATACACAATGCAATTTAATTCTAAATTATGCAAATTAACCTATAGACCGATAAGCATGACGGTCAAATGTATTTACATCGACTAGTATTTCCATCAATGAATAAAAAGCATTATTTTATAATGTTTTTTTTCCTTCCACCCCGGTCATTTTGTCCAGCAGCAGTTTTATCAGCTAACGGAAACCCTGACACACACTAAATGTGCTAATTGAACACAACATTATGTATGCTAACTTCAGTGGTAAAGCAACAAAATAGAGACACGCTTATAACCACATATCTAGGCCTAAACAAACAGATGATTGTTCCTTTGCATAGCTACCAATGTCACTGCATGGCAACCCTAATGATCATTGAATTATCATGTCAGAATAGACGTCAGACTTGGCTAATAATCAATAGGGAATATTGGTTAATATTTATGCTAGCGTCCTGTCCAGGGAGTGCACTGGTACATCAAGCTGCCTCATGCTACAGAATCAGGAGATATGCTCCTGCCCTATGAGCCTTTCTGGCTCGAACAAGGCTTACAGTGGGGAAAAAAAGTATTTAGTCAGCCACCAATTGTGCAAGTTCTCCCACTTAAAAAGATGAGAGGCCTGTAATTTTCATCATAGGTACACGTCAACTATGACAGACAAAATGAGGAAAAAAAATCCAGAAAATCACATTGTAGGATTTTTAATGAATTTATTTGCAAATTATGGTGGAAAATAAGTATTTGATCACCTACAAACAAGCAAGATTTCTGGCTCTCACAGACCTGTAACTTCTTCTTTAAGAGGCTCCTCTGTCCTCCACTTGTTACCTGTATTAATGGCACCTGTTTGAACTTATCAGTATAAAAGACACCTGTCCACAACCTCAGTCACACTCCAAACTCCACTATGGCCAAGACCAAAGAGCTGTCAAAGGACACCAGAAACAAAATTGTAGACCTGCACCAGGCTGGGAAGACTGAATCTGCAATAGGTAAGCAGCTTGGTTTGAAGAAATCAACTGTGGGAGCAATTATTAGGAAATGGAAGACATACAAGACCACTGATAATCTCCCTCGATCTGGGGCTCCACGCAAGATCTCACCCTGTGGGGTCAAAATGATCACAAGAACGGTGAACAAAAATCCCAGAACCACACGGGGGGACCTAGTGAATGACCTGCAGAGAGCTGGGACCAAAGTAACAAAGCCTACCATCAGTAACACACTACGCTACCAGGGACTCAAATCCAGCAGTACCAGACGTGTCCCCCTGCTTAAGCCAGTACATGTCCAGGCCCGTCTGAAGTTTGCTAGAGTGCATTTGGATGATCCAGAAGAGGATTGGGAGAATGTCAGATGAAACCAAAATAGAACTTTTTGGTAAAAACTCAACTCGTCGTGTTTGGAGGACAAAGAATGCTGAGTTGCATCCAAAGAACACCATACCTACTGTGAAGCATGGGGGTGGAAACATCATGCTTTGGGGCTGTTTTTCTGCAAAGGGACCAGGACGACTGATCCGTGTAAAGGAAAGAATGAATGGGGCCATGTATCATGAGATTTTGAGTGAAAACCTCCTTCCATCAGCAAGGGCATTGAAGATGAAACGTGGCTGGCTCTTTCAGCATGACAATGATCCCAAACACACCGCCCGGGCAATGAAGGAGTGGCTTCGTAAGAAGCATTTCAAGGTCCTGGAGTGGCCTAGCCAGTCTCCAGATCTCAACCCCATAGAAAATCTTTGGCGGGAGTTGAAAGTCCGTATTGCCCAGTGACAGCCCCAAAACATCACTGCTCTAGAGGAGATCTGCATGGAGGAATGGGCCAAAATACCAGCAACAGTGTGTGAAAACCTTGTGAAGACTTACAGAAAACGTTTGACCTGTGTCATTGCCAACAAAGGGTATATAACAAAGTATTGAGAAACTTTTGTTATTGACCAAATACTTATTTTCCACCATAATTTGCAAATAAATTCATTAAAAATCCTACAATGTGATTTTCGGGATTTTTTTTCCTCATTTTCTCTGTCATAGTTGATGTGTACCTATGATGAAAATTACAGGCCTCTCTCATATTTTTAAGTGGGAGAACTTGCACAATTGGTGGCTGACTAAATACTTTTTTTCCCCACTGTACTTATCCATCTTCCTCTCTCTGTCTCCCTTTCCTAAGGTCAGTTGGATAGATACTTGTACCACCTCCAGTTACATCTAGATTACTCTCTTTTTCTCTCTCAAGGTGGATAAATACCTGTACCACCTGCGGTTATCGGACGAGAACCTGATGGACGTATCGGTGAGATTCCGACGGGAGATGGACAAGGGTCTGGGCCGTGACTCCAACCCCACGGCTGCTGTCAAGATGCTGCCCACGTTTGTGCGCTCCACCCCTGATGGGACAGGTGAGAGCGTCGAGGGAGGGGGCTTGACTGACAGCTGTTGAGTCATTTTTTTAAAATTTATTTTTAGGTTGTGTCGTAAATAAAGAGACGCCAAACCCACCACTGGTATGTATGGCCTATGATCTCTATTTTCATGTCATCTGATCAAAGCACTGCCTGGAGTTTGATAAACTGCATTGGCGCTTGGATTGGAACCGGTGCTATGGTCAGATGACATGAAAATAGAGCTCTTTGGCCACGCACACCAATGGTAGGTTTGGCATCGAAAAACAGAAAGATGTGCAGAAAAGTACCTAATACCTACAGTCAAATATGGGGGTGGATCTTTGATGTTATGGGTCAACAGCATCATGAACTTTACCAAGTACCAGGACATTTTAGCCAAAAACCTGGTTGCTCTGCCAGGAGGCTGACACTTGGCCACAAGTTGATCTTCCAGCAAGACAATCCCAAGCGCTTATCAAAATCCAAAAAGAAATGGTTAATTGACCACAAAATCAACCTTTTGCAATGGCCATCTCAGTATCCAGACTTGAAACCCATTGAAAACCTGTGGTTTGAATGTAAGAGGACAGTCCATAAGTACAGACAAAGGATATCAATGATCTGGAAAGATTCTGTATAGGGGAATGGTGTAAGATCCCTCCCAACGTGTTCTCCATTCTCATAAAATATTTTAGAAAAAGGCTGTGTCGTTATCATCGCAAGGGCGGGTGCTAGAGTTTTATCTTGTTCTTGATACCGTGTCTTGTTTTGACTGATGTCATGTCTATGTTAATATGGTTCAAATTCGCTAGGTAGCTAACCAATAACTGTAACGATTTGAGAGAAGTGCTCATTGTGCAAAGGTATTTATGTTTTCAGTAAACATTGGATGCGAAATGTAGTTTACATGTTGTCAACAATCTAAGCCAACCCCGTCTGTTTTGCCCCATAGTTGCACACACGCCGGTTTTGTTGCTAAACAACCAACCCGTCTATAGACCGGCAGCAAAAAAAGTTTCTTATGAGTGCATTTCACACTACCTTTGGATTATAATTAGATTGAAAGTCTCATGAATGTCCTGCTTAATATAATGTTTGTGTTATCGTTGCTAATCAACTGCATTATACCCCAAAAATAAACACTTCAACCAGTAAAATGGCTCTTTGGCACCGGACTATATCAATGAGCGTTAGCATTTTAGCAAACAACTGCTGCATCCAAAATAGGTATTTTGCAACTATTACGACCAAATATAATTTTGCCGACTGTTCAAGCAACAACGTAAGCCTATGAGAACCCCAGAAAGTGTTTTTGTTTAGAAGTAATAACTATGTAAATCTAGGAAAAGTTGAATGGGCGCAGATTGTGAATGAAAGTTTTTCTTTTTCAAGGTGGCCGTTGTACTTGTTTAGGATATGAATAGCTGCTTGGAGTATGCTTAGAAATATTTCAACTATGGACAGTTCTGTAATTTGCTGAGATGAATAGGACGTCAGGGAGGTTTTTGATTGATTAACCACTTTAGATTTAATTTTATTAGGATCCCGATTAGCTGACGCCATAAGGACAGCTAGTCTTCCTGTGGTCCGACGCATAACTAAAACGACATTACAGACAAAAATACTTTATAATTTACATACAATGACCAATTTAGGTAATGAGAGTATGCTGGTGAAGAATGGCACATACAGTACCAGTCAAGTTTGGACACACCTACTCATTCCAGGGTTTTTATTTATTTTTACTATTTTCTACATTGTAGAAAACAGGACAATGACCCAACACACCTCCAGGCTGTATAAGGGCTATTTTACCAAGAAGGAGAGTGATGGAGTGCTGCATCAGATGACCTGGCTTCCACAATCCCCCGACCTCAACCCAATTGAGATGGTTTGGGATTAGTCGGACCGCAGAGTGAAGGAAAATCAGCCAACAAGTGCTCAGCATATGTTTAACACTTTTTTTTTGGTTACTACATGATTCCATATGTGTTATTTCATAGTTTTGATGTTTTCACTATTATTCTACAATGTAAAAATAAAGAAAAACCCTGGAATGAGTAGATGTGTCCAAACTTTTGGACTGGTAGTGTATAACATCCGAGCTCTGTTACAATATCCATCCACGCTAGCGTTCCACTAAGAAGGAAACTGTGATTTGGGCATGCGCTCTACCTGTAGGCCTACTCTGCATGAACATTGTGATGTGAAGCCTTGAGTCCCAGCTGCGTTTTCCCTGAGTTTGACCTGTTAGTGACTGTGACCGAAACAACAGGTGGCATATCAAAAACACTCTCAGAGACTGGGGAAGGTGATTTGTCATTAGTGACTGGAGAGGAACGGTAAATGTGAATTGTAGAGGTGACCAGGCCAAACCTCTGTTTGCCCAGCCTGTTGACTCAGGTCATTATTGGCACGTTAAACCCCAGCCTAGCAGATAAGTGTCTATCCAACTGAACTGCTATTATCGCTCTCAACTCTCTCTCAACTCGCTCTCGCTCTCTCTCGCTCTGCCCTTCTGTCTTTGTTCTCATGTCATGGTTCTATTTTCTACAGAAATGTGTTCCTTAAGTTGAGACTGACCATCGATCAAGTATTCCTCACTTTGAAAAGGCATTCAAATTAAAAGGTCATTGAAATGTTGAATTTTAGGCTAGTCACTTAACAAATGTGACACGATTCAAAACATATTTTATACTTGTTTATTGAGTTGAATAAAACCTCTGAGTGTGGTAATTAACATTTTATGTTGGTTGTCTGCTTGTTATGCATTAAAACGGAATGTCAGTCCATTGAAAGATTCACCACTTTATATCTCATGAAACTGTTAAAGATGCTACACAGGCTTTTCAAAATGTATTTTGCGTTGTAATTTCAGAAAATGTCCATGATATAGCTGCAGTACATTTTATTAATTTAGCAGACGCTCTTATCCAAAGCGACGTACAGTTAGTGCATTCATCTTAGGATAGCTAGGCGGGACAACCACACATCAGTCATAGTAAGTACATTTTTCCTCAAAGTAGTTATCAGCAAAGTCAGAGCTAGTAAACCGGATGAACATCATGAAAATGATCGGAGAGGTTGAGGGTAGAGGAAGTTCAGGAGTAAAAACAAACTAAATACAGTGAGGGGGAAAAAAAGTATTTGATCCCCTGCTGATTTTGTACGTTTGCCCACTGACAAAGACATGATCAGTCTATAATTTTAATGGTAGGTTTATTTGAACAGTGAGAGACAGAATAACAACAAAAAAATCCAGAAAAACGCATGTCAAAAATGTTACAAATTGATTTGCATTTTAATGAGGGAAATAAGTATTTGACCCCTCTGCAAAACATGACTTAGTACTTGGTGGCAAAACCCTTGTTGGCAATCAGAGGTCAGACGTTTCTTGTAGTTGGCCACCAGGTTTGCACACATCTCAGGAGAGATTCTGTCCCACTCCTCTTTGCAGGTCTTCTCCAAGTCATTAAGGTTTCGATGCTGACGTTTGGCAACTCGAACCTTCAGCTCCCTCCACAGATTTTCTATGGGATTATGGTCTGGAGACAGGCTAGGCCACTCCAGGACCTTAATGTGCTTCTTCTTGAGCCACTCCTTTGTTGCCTTGGCCGTGTGTTTTGGGTCATTGTCATGCTGGAATACCCATCCACGACCCATTTTCAATGCCCTGGCTGAGGGAAGGAGGTTCTCACCCAAGATTTGACAGTACATGGCCCCATCCATCGTCCCTTTGATGCAGTGAAGTTGTCCTGTCCCCTTAGTAGAAAAACACCCCAAAAGCATAATGTTTCCACCTCCATGTTTGACGGTGGGAATGGTGTTCTTGGGGTCATAGGCAGCATTCCTCCTCCTCCAAACACGGCGAGTTGAGTTGATGCCAAAGAGCTCGACTTTGGTCTCATCTGACCACAACACTTTCACCCAGTTCTCCTCTGAATCATTCAGATGTTCATTGGCAAACTTCAGACGGGCCTGTATATGTGCTTTCTTGAGCAGGGGGACCTTGAGCAGGATTTCAGTCCTTCACGGCGTAGTGTGTTACCAATTGTTTTCTTGGTGACTATGGTCCCTGCTGCCTTGAGATCATTGACAAGATCCTCCCGTGTAGTTCTGGGCTGATTCCTCACCGTTCTCATGATCATTGCAACTCCACGAGGTGAGATCTTGCATGGAGCCCCAGGCTGAGGGAGATTGACAGGTCTTTTGTGTTTCTTCCATTTGCGAATAATCGCACCAACTGTTGTCACCTTCTCACCAAGCTGCTTGGCGATGGTCTTGTAGCCCATTCCAGCCTTGTGTAGGTCTACAATCTTGTCCCTGACATCCTTGGAGAGCTCTTTGGTCTTGGCCATGGTGGAGAGTTTGGAATCTGATTGATTGCTTCTGTGGACAGGTGTCTTTTATACAGGTAACAAACTGAGATTAGGAGCACACTCTTAAAGGGAGTGCTCCTAATCTCAGTTTACCTGTATAAAAGACACCTGGGAGCCAGAAATCTTTCTGATTGAGAGGGGGTCAAATACTTATTTCCCTCATTAAAATGCAAATCAATTTATAACATTTTTGACATGCGTTTTTCTGGATGTTATTTTTGTTGTTATTCTGTCTCTCACTGTTCAAATAAACCTACCATTTAAAATTAGACTGATAATTTCTTTGTCAGTGGGCAAACGTACAAAATCAGCAGGGGATCAAATACTTTTTTCCCTCACTGTGTATGTATGTGTGATTGGCTGTGATTTTCGCCTATTGATTTCTCCCGCTGGCTTCTGTTGTCAAAATGGGAAAGCTGTTTTGACTTTGGCTGTGTTGTCTAGTGTAAACCGGGGCAAGCTGCCAATGTAGAAATCGTCATTTCCTGGTTGCTAAAACTCTACACTGTTCACTCAATTTCAGTTTATTGAAGAATATAAGCACTGAATAGTGTAGGGAATCATTGTACCATCTAAATTGCTGTGAAATATATTTTCAATAACAAAAAATATAGTCTTTCCATCTGTTTTAAGCTGGTAGACCAAAACTGAAAGTAAAAGGCTCAAAATGCTAGTCTCCGCCATGTTATGGGGAAGTAAGATGAGGGGGAGATTGTTATAAATGCAGTCTAGTGCTGTTGCAATTCACATACAGCGGGGAGAAGTATTTGATACGCTGCCGATTTTGCAGGTTTTCCTACTTACAAAGCATGTAGAGGTCTGTAATTTTTATCATAGGCACACTTCAACTGTGAGAGACGGAATATAAAACAAAAATCCAGAAAATCACATTGTATGATTTTTAAGTAATTAATTTGCATTTTATTGCATGACGTAAGTATTTGATACATCAGAAAAGCAGAACTTAATATTTGGTACAGCAAATTAATTACTTAAAAATCATACAATGTGATTTTCTGGATTTTTTTTTTAGATTCCGTCTCTCACAGTTGAAGTGTACCTATGAAAAAATTACAGACCTCTACATGCTTTGTAAGTAGGGAAACATGCAAAATCGGCAGTGTATCAAATACTTGTTCTCCCCACTGTAGCTTCCACATAGGGGAAAGAATTTATCAGTAGCACCTTTAAAGGTCATGGGTATGTTATTGGCAATAGGTGAAAAGACAAAACACTTTTCAAAGAGGACTGTGGTGGTAAGGAGTCTACTGCTTCATGGTCAAAGTCCTCTCAGTGGCTGTAATGAAATTCATTTTAGTCTCACCCATGATCCCTGTAACTTCCTTCTTACCGGACACAGAGACATAAAAATGGTATCCAAAATCCCGAAGTATCCCTTTAAGTGGACACATTGAAAGGAAATATCAAAACCAGCAGACACACGACCCTCCATGAATTGAGTGACACCCCTGATCAAATTCAACATTTACTAATGTAAAGAGAACTGAGAGCATGTACAAGAATCCATACATTTTTTGTGTGAAATTGAGTGAAGGTGTCTCTGTTTTCATCCTTCTCTGTCCCCTGGTGCAGTGGAACAATTCTTCAGCCTCAGTAGCATAACTCTGGATAGCTGGCGTTCTGTAAACATTGAAAGGACATTTTCAGACTGGATCTGACATTTTAAAATATATTTTGTTAAACTGCATTTGCACAATATAACCCCCCCACATCTGCCATGTTCATATTCAGCATAACACTCTGGTTTGGCTCCTAACCCTCACAAACCAGGCTGGAAAGTAGTGTAGCCTCAACCTAGTAAGCACGCACATTTTCTGATTTATGAAATTGAGTTTTGGAATATGTACTGTAGAGATGGTTTGCACATTGGCAAGGTGTCACCTAGATGTAAGAATAACATTCTAATCCCTGGTCGAAGTATGCCATTGTAGAACTGTAGAATCTCACCCTTGTTGACTTTGTAGAACCATTCAGTTGAGTGCATTTGTGGCACAACTTGTTTGTGAGTGGGGGCCGGCTGACTTGGGTCTGTCGTCATCCACATTACCGTGGATGTAGATGAGCTGTCACAGGTGTGTAGTACTACTGATATTGAATACTGCATTGTTGGAAAAGAGCTTGCAAGAAAGGCATTTCACTGTACTTGTGCATGTGACAATAACTTATTGAATGCTGCCTTCGTCTTCTCTGCATCCTACAGCGGTAGAGATGGAGAGAGAAAGAGAGGGGAAGATATTACAATTTACATGCTGTGCTGGGTGCCATGGCGATGGGTAGGCTGCCACTATGGTGAGTGGTCTGTTTTCATCTTTATCTGTCCCCTGGTGTAGTGGAACAATTATTGTTCAGCCTCAGTAGCATGATTCTGGATAACTGGTGTTCTGTAAACCGTAAAAGGACATGTAGATGGGACAGCTTTCAGACTGGATCTGTCATTTTGAATTAAATATTTCTGATTTAAACACCTGCATTTGCATAATATAAGACCTCCATCCTCAGACTCGTGTTTTATATTAGCGCTGGCTGCCGGCTAATCAGCCGGTTAGACTTCTAATCAGCCAGTTACTTTTTCCACTTCATATTAACTAGGCTACAGTGCATTCGGAAAGTATTCGGACCCCTTGAGTTTTTCCACATTTTGTTACGTTACAGCCTTATTCTAAAATGGATTAAAAAAAGAATAATCTCATCACTCTACACAAAATACGCCATAATGACAAAGCAAAAACTAATTTTTTGACATTTTTGCAAGTGTGTGTATGTATATACAGTGGGGAGAACAAGTATTTGATATACTGCCGATTTTGCAGGTTTTCCTACTTACAAAGCATGTAGAGGTCTGTAATTTTTATCATAGGTACACTTCAACTATGAGAGACGGAATCTAAAACAAAAATCCAGAAAATCACATTGTATGATTTTTACGTAATTAATTTGCATTTTATTGCATGACATAAGTATTTGATACATCAGAAAAGCAGAACTTAATATTTGGTACAGAAACCTTTGTTTGCAATTACAGAGATCATACGTTTCCTGTAGGTCTTGACCAGGTTTGCACACACTGCAGCAGGGATTTTGGCCCACTCCTCCATACAGACCTTCTCCAGATCCTTCAGGTTTCGGGGCTGTCGCTGGGCAATACGGACTTTCAGCTCCCTCCAAAGATTTTCTATTGGGTTCAGGTCTGGAGACTGGCTAGGCCACTCCAGGACCTTGAGATGCTTCTTACGGAGCCACTCCTTAGTTGCCCTGGCTGTGTGTTTTGGGTCGTTGTCATGCTGGAAGACCCAGCCACGACCCATCTTCAATGCTCTTACTGAGGGAAGGAGGTTGTTGGCCAAGATCTCGCGATAGATGGCCCCATCCATCCTCCCCTCAATACGGTGCATTCGTCCTGTCCCCTTTGCAGAAAAGCATCCCCAAAGAATGATGTTTCCACCTCCATGCTTCATGGTTGGGATGGTGTTCTTGGGGTTGTACTCATCCTTCTTCTTCCTCCAAACACGGCGAGTGGAGTTTAGACCAAAAAGCTCAATTTTTGTCTCATCAGACCACATGACCTTCTCCCATTCCTCCTCTGGATCATCCAGATGGTCATTGGCAAACTTCAGACGGGCCTGGACATGCGCTGGCTTGAGCAGGGGGACCTTGCGTGCGCTGCAGGATTTTAATCAATGACGGCGTAGTGTGTTACTAATGGTTTTCTTTGAGACTGTGGTCCCAGCTCTCTTCAGGTCATTGACCAGGTCCTGCCATGTAGTTCTGAGATGATCCCTCACCTTCCTCATGATCATTGATGCCCCACGAGGTGAGATATTGCATGGAGCCCCAGACCGAGGGTGATTGACCGTCATCTTGAACTTCTTCCATTTTCTAATAATTGCGCCAACAGTTGTTGCCTTCTCACCAAGCTGCTTGCCTATTGTCCTGTACCCATCCCAGCCTTGTGCAGGTCTACAATTTTATCCCTGATGTCCTTACACAGCTCTCTGGTCTTGGCCATTGTGGAGAGGTTGGAGTCTGTTTGATTGAGTGTGTGGACAGGTGTCTTTTATACAGGTAACGAGTTCAAACAGGTGCAGTTAATACAGGTAATGAGTGGAGAACAGGAGGGCTTCTTAAAGAAAAACTAACAGGTCTGTGAGAGCCGGAATTCTTACTGGTTGGTAGGTGATCAAATACTTATGTCATGCAATAAAATGCAAATGAATTACTTAAAAATCATACAATGTGATTTTCTGGATTTTTGTTTTAGATTCCGTCTCTCACAGTTGAAGTGTACCTATGATAAAAATTACAGACCTCTACATGCTTTGTAAATAGGAAAACCTACCAAATCGGCATTGTATCAAATACTTGTTCTCCCCACTGTATATATATCACACACACAGTACCAATCAAAAGTTTGGACACACCTACTTATTCCAGTTTTATTTTTTGTGTGACTATTTTCTACATTGTAGAATAATAGTGAAGACATCAAAACTATGAAATAACACATGGAATCATGTAGTAACCAAAAAAGTGTTATTTTTGAGATTCTTCAAATAGCCACCCTTTGCCTTGATGACAGCTTTGCACACTCTTGGCATTCTCTCAACCAGGTTCATGAGGTAGTCACCTGGAATGCATTTCAACTAACAGGTGTGCCTTGTTAAAAGTTAATTTTTGGAATGTCTTTTGTTAATGCGTTTGAGCCAATCAGTTGTGTTGTGACAAGGTAGGGTGGAGTTATACTTTTTCCCCCCCACTGTATGTAACTCTGTGTTGTTTTTATCGCACTGCTTTGCTTTATCTTGGCCAGGTCGCAGTTGTAAATGAGAACTTGTTCTCAACTGGCTTACCTGGTTAAATAAAGGTGAAATAAAATAATAAAAATACATATACATACATATCCTTTAAAAATATATATATTTCCCCTTATTAATTTCCAACCCCACCATCCCCTCCCTAATTGGAGTAAACTAGTGAACAACAATGCTTAGGCATCTGCTTGATGCTTATACATACTATATACATTTTATGGACACAGTCACTAATTATATTTTGTTTGTTTTTACTCCTGAACTTCCTCCGATCATTTTCATGATGTCCATCTGGTATGCTTCTATATGCCATATCTTTCACAAAAGCTCACAATATATAACCTATATACTTATTATGGACACAGCATTTCTTACACTAGTTATCTTGTTGTTATTAGTTGTTGTTATTAGTCCCATACTTCAGTTCCATTCAACACCTCCCATCTATCTCTTAACACCATCCATATTGGATTTTTCAACTGTACTGTGATGTTTTACAAAAGTTCTGAACCTTTCTATTAAGGCTGAACGATTTTGGAAAATAATCTAATTGCGATTTTTTGCCCCCAATATTGCGATTGCGATTTAATATGCGATTTAATTTATTTATCCTTTTTCCCCTACAAAACATAATGAATGATTTAAATATGACCAACACAATAGTATATACATTTAGTGTGAAATGTTCTTTCCCATAGGCTGGGTCTATTTGTTAGAATTAAATTCAAACATGTATGACTTGAAATAAATGACATTTTTATTGAACTGCTCATTACAGAAACATCTGTGGCTTTGCCACTGTGCATTTAAATAATTTAAACAAAGGCATGAACTTTGTAAACACTGTGTGCAAAAGGTACAGTCTTAAGAAAAAAATAATTTTAAATTGTATGTATCTTACTGCTCCCAAGTCAGTAACATTTCACACAACTGAAACAAGGAATTTGCTTTGAAAATATTTTGTAAAATCAAAGTAAATAAAGTTATAAATAAAAAATGAGAAATGCACTTTTAATTTAGACAAACTATTTTTTATAAACGATTTGAATATTATAATATAAAATAGATGAGCCTCACTTATCTCAAGTACACAACAATAACACACCACACAGACTAAAGTTCACTACGAGTATGGCACTGCCAGCCATACTTATCCAACAGTTCTGTTCTCAGTGGCTCACAGGTTTTTTGCTAAGAAAACCAGAATATTGACTTTTTCTGGCTTCAAGGCTGAGCGAGTGCAAGTCACAATATTCCCTCCTGTGCTAAAAAGACGCTCTGAGGGAGCGCTTGTAGCAGGTACACAAAGATACTTGCGTGCCATGGTGCACAACTGTGGGTAGCTGATCTTGTGCACCCTCCACCAAGCCAATGGATCATCTTCTCCATCAATGGTAGGAGTCATCAGGTAATTGTTTATCTCTGCCTCTGCGACATCTTCAAGATTTACAGGCAAAGAAGGAGAGGCTGAACTGGTCTTGAAAAAACTGCCAAGAGACCTCTTCGTCTTTTCCCCCAAGGACTGTGCACTTTGAGGCATCTGAACAGTTTCAGTACGAGACCTCTTCTCCTATTAGATGAAAACAACAGCCATTAGTTTTCCAGTTAGATTTTACAGAAAATTTTTGTTTTTGTGAAATACATAATTATTTACCCAATGATATGTACGTTGTGCCAAGTCTACTATCTCTGTCTTCAGACGAGTCTTGATAGCAGGGATGTTGTCTGTACTGATGTACTGTATTTTGAACCTAGGGTCCAGGAAACAGGCAACATCCAAAAGCTCCTGGATGTTTGGGTCTCCATATTTGTTATTGAGGTATGCTAGGACTTTGGTTTTTATTGATTTAGTCAGGTCAGTGTCCTCAGCATCTTCAGCCAGGACTGATGTGGCAAAAAGGTGGAGAACTGGCTTGAGGTAGGAGATGCTTACATACTCCTCTCCAGAAAGAGCATCAGTAAACTCCAGTAGAGGATGCAGTGCCTTGTGAATCGACTCCAACACGTCAATATCCTGCCAGGTTGGGATAAGGGAGCGTGCATATCGATCTCCAGACAATACCTGAGAAATGGCTTTGGCCTGTTCAAGCACTCTGGCAATCATCATTTCTTTAGAACCCCATCTTGTTGGGCACTCCGTTATGAGGTTGTGCTCAGGGAGTTTGAGCTCTCTCTGTGCCTCCGTCAGGGCTGCTTTCTTCTTCCAACTGTGGGAAAAGTGCCCCACCAGCTTCCTGCACAGTGCTGTTGCCCTTGACACTCTGTCATCTTTGAGTGCATTTTCTAAAAGAAATAAAAAGTAGTGTATTACACACAATTTGAGTTTTGATACAAGGCTCTCACTATTACACACTCAAATTAGCTGTAATTCTGAAATACACACATCCACAACACATCCTCTCTCTCTCTCTCAATTCAAAGGGTCTTTATTTGCATGTCAATTCTCTCTCTTTCTCTCTCTCTCTCTCTCATAAACACTAAAAAAACATGTAAAAAACAAAAACAAGAAAAGAAAAAAAATGCAGGTGGGCATTCCACCACAGACAGACATATGATATAAGCAAGTAAAATGAATTTACATATTAGAAAAGGAGTGGAAGTATGAATTTATTTAATCCCATCCGATTTATATAATATCATTTATATATATTTGTATATTCAGCTTTACTAATCGACGCATCTCTCTCTCTCGCACTCGCGCACACACACACACACACACACACACACACACACACACACACACACACACACGATAACTTACCAATGGCAAGATGTAATCTGTGGCCAAAACATTGGAGCCTCGTCCATTCATTAAGCCGCGCAGCAAGCACCATATTCGACGCGTTGTCCGTCGTGATGCAGACGTGATTCTCCTCGTGGAGATCCCAGCTGACAAGCCCTTCTCTCAGGCCGGCTGCAATATTTTCCCCTGTGTGATCGTCTGGGAAGTAGGTAGTTTGTAGGCAGCGAGCTCGGAGGTTGAAATCTTCATCAATAAAATGGACTGTAAGACTCTGGTACGGCTCAGCTGTGCGGCTTGACCACATATCAGTAGTGCTAGCAAAAAACTCCACCGTTTTAAGTTCCGCGGCGACTTTCTCTTTGCACTTTTTGTACAGCTCCGGTATGGCAGTCTGACTGAAGTATGTGCGGGAGGGTATACTGTAACGTTTATCAAGCGTATGTATTAATGCCATGAACCCAGGCTTGGTCACCGTGCTGAGAGGCATCATATCTTTGGCTATGAACTCGGTTATTGTCCGAGTGATTTCTCCGTGCCGTTTTGAATTACGTTCATACGGAGTGACACTTTCGAACATTTCTGTCAGTGATCCCTGTCTTGAGGTATTTGGCTTGTCTCGCGCACTGATGCTCGGCATTTTGGTCATACAACTGTCATGCATTGATTTGTGGTATTTTTTTAAGTGCTGAAACAGGTTTGTAGTGTTACCCCGTGAAGTAGCAATCGGAGCACGGCATGCTCTGCACAACACCTGACGCTGCTCAGCATCTTCTTTTTTAAAACCAAAATAGTTCCACACCACCGACGTGCTGTTCCTCTTCGATATTAAAGTATCAGCTGTGTCAGTTTCTGACTGTTCCGTCGAGCAAGAGGCCATTGCGCTGGACAGCATGAAAAGTCGCGTCACGTGACCACCTCAAATCGCGCACGTTGCGATTAGAAAATCGCGTTCAGTCAAATCGCGATATTATCGCGAATGCAATTAATCGTTCAGCCCTACTTTCTATTCTCATTTGTTTCTACAGTTTGTGAATTGAAAATAAACATCTTTGCTAAAAGTATTATTATATTATTGATCGATTGACTATGGCTTTTCAGATCACCCAGTAGTGCTATCTGCAGGGTCAGCTCCATGCAAATATTGCAAATTCTTCAGCCATTCCTGGACCTGTGTCCAGAAACAAGCTACAAATGGACAGTACCAAAACAAATGATCTAATGATTCTGTCTCTTCGCAGCAAAATCTGCAGAGCTGGGAAGATTGTATCCCCCATACAAATAACATTCTATTGGTAGCAAGAATTTTATATAATAATTTAAGTTTTGAATCCGTCGTCGTTTTGCGTATCAGTTCATAAACACTATGCCATGGAATCAGTATGTCAAAAATCTCTTCCCAACTATTTTGCAATCTATATGGGACGGCTGTCAATCTTTTGGTCCTTAAATGAAACTGGTAAACTTTTTTTTATTTATCACAATTTTCTTTAACCAATTATTTTCTTTAATGCAAGGCCGACAGACAAGTTCCTTACTTTTCTCCTCTTCCATTTTTGCAGTAATGCTGCAATTATTTGGTTGTAATTTTGGGTAGAGCAGACATTTCCATATGTTTTTGTTAGCTGCATGTGCGACAACTCCACCATTCCTACCGATAATATCATTTACGAAAATTATACATTTTTTAAACATTTTCTCAAAAAATAACGTTTTTTTTTATCAATTAGTATATTTGAGTTTAACCACAATATTTGTTGCAATATTTGTTCTGTAATTTCTGGAGGATTAAATTGAAATTGCATCCAAACTTTCTATGGCTTGTTTTAGAAATAGTGTCTTTGAGACGCAGAGTAGGTGAACGGATGATCTCTGCATGTGTGATTCCCACTGAAGCATGGAGGAGGTGGTGTTTGGGTGCTTTGCTGGTGACACTGTCTGATTTTATTTAGAAAGCAAGCCACACTTAACCAGCATGGCTACCAAAGCATTCTGCAGCGATACGCCATTCCATCTGGTTTGGGCTTAGTGGAACGATCAATTGTTTATCAACAGGACAATGACCCAACACACCTCCAGGCTGTGTAAGGGCTATTTTACCAAGAAGGAGAGTGATGGAGTGCGGCATCAGATGACCTGGCCTCCACAATCACCCGACCTTAACCCAATTGAGATGGTTTGGGATGAGTCGGACGGCAGAGTGAAGGAAAAGCAGCCAACAAGTGCTCAGCATATGTGACCCTGCCGATGGAAAAACATCCCCACAGCATGATGCTGCCACCACCATGCTTCACTGTGAGGATGGTGTTCTCAGGGTGATGAGAGATGTTGGGTTTGCGCCAGACATAGCATTTTCCTCGATGGCCAAAAAGCTCAATTTTAGTCTCATTTGACCAGAGTATCTTCTTCCATATGTTTGGGGAGTCTCCCACATGCCTTTTGGCGAACACCAAACGTGTTTGCTTATTTTTTTCTTTAAGCAATGGCTTTTTTCAGGCCACTCTTCCGTAAAGCCCAGCTCTGAGGAGTGTACGGCTTAAAGTGGTCCTATGGACAGATACTCCAATCTCCGCTGTGGAGCTTTGCAGCTCCTTCAGGGTTATCTTTGGTCTCTTTGTTGCCTCTCGGATTAATGCCCTCCTTGCCTGGTCCATGAGTTTTGGTGGGCGGCCCTCTCTTGGCAGGTTTGTTGTGGTGCCATATTCTTTCCATTTTTTTATTATGGATTTAATGGTGCTCCGTGGGATGTTCAAAGTTTCTGATATTTTTTTATAACCCATCTTTGTCCCTGACCTGTTTGGAGAGCTCCTTGGTCTTCATGGTGCTGCTTGCTTGGTGGTGCCCCTTGCTTATTGGTGTTGCAGATTCTGGGGCCTTTCAGGACAGGTGTGTGTATATATACTGAGATCATGTGACAGATCATGTGACACTTAGATTGCACACAGGTGGACTTTATTTAACTAATTATGTGACTTCTGAAGGTAATTGGTTGCACCAGATCGTATTTAGGGGCTTCATAGCAAAGGGGGTGAATACATATGCATGCACCACTTTTGCGTTATTTATTTTTTAGAATTCTTTGAAACAAGTTTTTTTTTTTTTTTTTTCACTTCACCAAATTTGGACTATTTTGTGTATGTCCATTACATGAAATCCTAATAAAAATCCATTTAAATGACAGGTTGTAATGCAACAAAATAGGAAAAACACCAAGGGGGATAAATACTTTTGCAAGTCACTGTATATGCGTGCCCTGAATTTTTTAAAATCTGCCTAATCATATAATTACATATATAATCCCTATTAATTCAATAGGATCTCTGAGGGCCTAGTCGTAAAGATTTTATTGTGGCATAAACACAACCAGTCATGATGTTTTCATCTAATTTGTCAAACAATCACTTCAAAGGTCTCCTTTACTAGGCTACCCGTGCACGTTCATCCACTTGCAGTGCCCAGTGCTTGACTTGGACAGGAGCTCACCTGACCTGAGTACCGACACCTAAAATGTTTCTATCACTTGAGCTCTTGTTCCTCTTATAGAATATTAGCTCAAAAGTACCATCACCTATTTTATTTATTTTTTATTTTTAGTCATTTTAGCAGACGCTCTTATCCAAAGCGACTTACAGTTAGTGAGTGCATACATATTTCAGTCCAAGTCGAGCACGGCACTACCCGTGAACGTGCACTACCCGTGCACATTCATCCACTTGCAGTGCCCAGTGCTTGACTTGGACAGGAGCTCACCTGTCCCTTCAACACTCTTTCCAGTGGTGAATGGAAGAGACATCTGTTACACCAAAAAGTGTAGACCAGAATTTATGCGTCCACTGTTGTCCGCGAGCATCTCAGTGTCGGCCACTCATCTCTGCCTTGGCCAAATTTCAGTGTTTTCATCTAACTACATCGCATTCTGGAGGGTAGGCTATACCACCAGTTTTCAAGTCCATTCGCAAATGTTTCATGCCTCTGACATCAAATCAAATTTTATTTTCCACATGCGCCGAATACAACAGGTGTAGACGTTAGTGAAATGCTTACTTACAAGCCCTTAACCAACAATGCATAAAAAAATACAAAAAGTGTTAAATATATATTTTTTAAAGCAAATAACTAAAGAGCAGCAGTAAAATAAAATAACAGTAGGGAGGCTATATACAGGGGCGTACTGATGCAGAGTCAATGTGCGGGGGCACCGGCTAGTCGGTAATTGAGGTAATAGGTACATGTGGGTAGAGTTAAAGTGACTATGCATAGATAATAAACAGAGTAGCAGTAGCGTAAAAGAGGGGATTGGGGTGCAGGGGCAGTGCAAATAGTCCAGGGTAGCCATGATTAGCTGTTCAGGACTCTTATGGCTTGGGGGTAGAAGCTGTTTAGAAGCCATGCGATAATGATAACTGTAGGCTACTACACCATTTTGTTTTAATTATAGTGATGGGCTCATGTTTTACTGGTACGGCGTACCACATTCTTTATTATGCTGGGACGCCGTACCGGACCGTACCGCTTTTCTTTAATCCCTGGAGAGGGGGATTAGTTTACCTGACTGTGTTGTGATGCAGCTGGTCCCAGATGAGAGGCCTGCTTAGTCTTCAGCTCCGCCAGACACAGAGTCATGGAGCCAGACACATCCAGCAGTGCCCCAAACACACGCTTGCTACCTGGGGAGAGGGGGAGAGGGGGAGAGGGAAGGGCCAGAGTCTAGGGTTACTTAAACCTTCAATGGGCATTCAAAGAAATTTGGCTATTTTGGTACCATAGAATTAGATTAAATAGAACAGACATTACATTTCAAAGCCGATGTCTGGTGAGGGCTCTTGAGGCTCGTATTTGGTTAGTATTGCTGAGAGGGAGGGAGGGAGAGCGAGAGAAGCCATCAGCCATTGCAGCCTCTGTTTGTGCCACTGCAGGAGTCTCTGAGTCGGGTACTGTTTTAACACATACTGTACATAGAACGGAGGGGGGTTCACTTTTTTTTTATAGGTGTTAAGGGTTGCATAGGTGTTTTTGCTAAACCACCTCTGCCACTACTTGTTGAACACAGATTGTTTCTGTAGACATTCCTTATCATTTCACTGTATTCCCTTCCCTGCTGTTTGTAAACCTATCTGAGGATGGCATGCTGTTGGACAGGACATGAAGGGGAACTTTGATGGGCTCCAGACAGTGTCATCTCCAGCAGCCTCTGGCTTGTCAGGCTGGTGGGCAACAGGGGGCTGGAGCTTAGGCAAGAGAGCAGGGTTAGCCTCATTTTGCCCACCTACTTTGTGCTGTTTGTATCTGACATCACAAATTGAAAATGATAGAAAATTGTAAATGATAGACAACCCTGGCACTGGTTGGTTTCAAATACTGCTAGTGTTAAAACTACTCTTCACAAAATAGTCATTAAATGCGGTCATTAAAAACAACCTCATGTCCATCTTGCTAGCTACTAGTTCCTCTATGTTGTTGTTAAGGGGATGTTTATGGTAGGGCAATAAGCAGAAAAAGCTGGAATTTCAAAGATTGCGTAAGTAAGTCGTCTGGCTCGAGAGACTTTGCTTCAATCACATTATTGCTGCTTGTGGTCATATCTGTTTGCAGCTATGTAGCTTTCATAAAGGCTGTGGTAGAATTACATGCGCTTTTTATAAAAGAGCCCTATTACATTAAAAATACCATTAGGGCTAGTTGTGGTACAGGCTATATGGAAGACTTGTAGTATATTTAACTAGACAAGCACCACATTCCCACTTAAATATTTGGTAGCACACTTGTATTCTATACCATCTCTATTGCAGTTAGCACTGTAGTGTGTGAGTGGTATGTGTGCGTTTTTTTGTTTTATTGCTTTAAAGCAGGCTGTGAAAAATACATGTTTTAGGGGCCAACCTTCTTCAGTGTGATTATATTTTTTGTTTATCCACCAGAAAAGGGAGACTTCCTGGCTCTAGATCTGGGTGGGACCAACTTCCGGGTCCTGCTGGTGAAGGTGTCTGACAACGGGAAGCAGAAGGTGGAGATGGAGAACCAGATCTATGCCATTCCTGAGGAGCTGATGAGGGGCAGCGGCTCAGAGGTGAGAGGGGGGAGGATTCATGTGAGGCCATTTGGACGTACTGCCAAATTCTCTAAAACTGTGTTGGAGGCGGGTTATGGTAGAGAAAATGAACATTAAATTATCTGGCAACAGCTCTGGTGGACATTCCTGCAGTCAGCATGCCAATTGTGGTTGATAAGGGCTATGAAGTAATATTTGTAATATTTTACCGCAACATTATCATTTAGCTATTATACAAAAGAAATGGGGTTGGAAAAACAACCAATCATATCAATGAGCTGAAGGGTTTTCTAGCACATTGACCAGTTTGCTGCTGTATGTTAACACAGAACACCCCTCTGTTTCTCCCTAAGTTGTTCGACCACATTGCTGAGTGTCTAGCTAACTTCCTGGAAAAGCTGGGAATAAAGAATCAGAAGCTTCCTCTGGGCTTCACCTTCTCCTTCCCCTGCCAGCAGACCAAACTGGATGAGGTGAGGAATAAGGAGGGTGACCATTGAAGACCGCATTGGAAAGTTAAAGGGAAAGAAATAACTGAGATTTCAGAATGCCCCAGAAGTTTTCATTGCCTGTTTGTGTGCGTCTTTATGCAGAGTATTCTGGTGTCATGGACCAAGGGCTTCAAGTCACACGGGGTGGAAGGGAGAGACGTGGTCAGCCTTCTGAGGAAAGCCATCAAAAAGAGAGGGGTGAGTCAATAGAAAGTTAATGGGCCAAGGTTATACACTGAGTAGCCATTGCAGTGGCAGCACTACCTTGCCACATCATGCAGTTTCCCCCATACATATCATTTATGGACTCCTAGGAGCTTTCCAGATATTGTGTGCTACACATATCATCTGACCCACTAAGGTTATGCGGAAAGTATGGCATGAAGGCTTCAGGCCAGCACTATCAAGGCTAACTGAAACCCAGTGTTAATTCAAGTTTAGAAAGATACCGTCGCACTCAACCCGCTTGGGGGTTTAGAAGTTATTCATTGGTGCCTAAAACCGGTCCCAATAAAAGATGCGTGCACACAAATACATAATAAATCCAACAAATTATATAGATTTTTATAACACAATAGGCAGATACCCCAAGGTTCTTCTGTGTGATTTAAAAGATAAAAATAATAAATCCAACAAATTATATTTATATTTTATAACAATAGGCAGGGGAACCATATTACACACGGAATAATGCTTGTTAGTAGCTGACATGTCTGAGTTTGTCTGTTCCCATGCTTGCTGTTTTCACAAAGAAAATCCATAATGTTTTTACCCATTATTGTATGCGAACATTAAGTTTAACTCTTCATATTGAGCTTTACAGTAGTTTTCCTTCCATGTCTAAGGGTGTATTCAAAACACTCGGGTAAGTCGTAGCCCACTTTTTGCTTTATTGATGCAATCTGTTTTACAATACAAGAGTTACACAACACATTCCTTTACAATGTTTTTTATTTGGATGTGCATATCTTTCCTTTTTTCCTTGTATACAAAAGTCTGGATGTTTGACAAAAGCTATTGGCCAGTCTGCCTAGTGCCTACATCAAGGGGCCTTAAACGGGCAGGCCTCAAGTATCCTTGGTCAATACTGTAAGACAATTGTGGGAATTATGGGAGGAAAGTTATGGGAATGTACATTTACAGAAACATTTTGGAGAATATTATGGAAATGTACATTTATGTGAAAATTATGGGAATACAGCTGGAGTGTATAGAGCCTGGTTTGAGGCCCTAGAGATGCAGAGAATGCCATTGTCTGCTAAGCTATTCAGTATTCACTAGCCGTTTTGTCTTATTTTCCTACATTTCTGTTTATTTGTTGTTTGTCTGATGATGAACTAGTCAGTGGTGAGTCCAGGGGCGATCGCTCGTTGAATGCAGGGCATGCACCGTCCACATGTCTTGCTAAGTCCACACTACGCTTTCCAAAAGCGTGGCGGGAAAAATAGGATGGTAGTCTTTTCTTGTGCTTTGCTCATGTCCTGACCGCTGCACTGATCTATAATGGAATTACTATGTGTTTTCATCCTTCCAAGAAAAGCACCTAATTATAGTTGAATAGGTCATCATTATATTGTGAACTGTGTCATCCACGGATTTCGAACTAACATAAGCTGTTGATTTCTAAAGAGAGATTTGCTAAAACACAGCTGCTTTCACAGCATGTAGCAGAAGTACCAGCTCTGCCAGAGACTTCTTGGCTGAACTAGCTAGCTGCTCGCTCTCTCTTAAATGCAACCCCGAGGTTCACATTTTGTTGCTTTGACAACATGTTGTGCCACTGTTTCATTTAGATTTCAGTGTCAATTCAGGGCAGAGGCTTGTTTCCCTTGCTCTGCAAGGGCTATGGAACGTTAATGCTGCTTTGTGACGGTGTTGTTGGGATTAGAGAGTTGCTGGTTCGCGCCCAGTGCTGGACAGGGTCCGGACCTATTCTGTTGCACTTGTATCTTTTCTACATTCATCTATTAAGCAGAACTGCTGTGGCTCGTTCCCTGTCTTTTACCACTTGAAAAGTAATAACCAGTTAGTTTGCTAGCAAAATAGCAAGCTAGTTTGAGTTTTCCTGTTGAAAAGCAATATCCCAAGTATAAATACAGTAAAGTACACACACTAAAGGGTACATAAAATAAATAAAAATATATATCCTTTGTAATACACTTTTTACACAACTGCAAAGTTCATTGAGTAGGGCTTTCAAGGAGTTGGTCTGATGTGATGTCATCGGCCTCCCCCTTTTCTTAAGGAACAATAGAGGAGCAATAGAGAACAAAAGAGGAAAGGCCCATCCCCCCGCTTGTGCTATGTCATACCTGAACCACCTATTGAGATATGCCTTTTGTTAAGTCAATCAAGTGTTAAATGAGGTGAAAAGGAGACTGGAGTAGGCCCCCAAAAAATATAAAACAGATTAAACTGGCTGCTAATAACATCGGAGTAGGACTGCTGATCTAGGATCAGTTTAAACTTTTAGATCATAATGAATAAGATTATATGGACAGAAGGGACCTGATCCTAGAACAGCACTACTACTCTGAGACACTTTCTGAATACGGGCCCTGATCACACCCTGCATCTTGGAGTTGCATCATGCGTAATGATTTCAGTCACCGCACGCTGGCCAAGTGAGTCACTTGTTAATTAAATAGTTAACTATGACCTGTTTCTATCTTTCCCCAGGACTTTGACATTGACATTGTGGCGGTAATCAATGACACTGTGGGCACAATGATGACTTGTGGATATGACGACCATCACTGTGAAATAGGCCTCATTGTTGGTGAGTCCCTCTCCATCCTAACATATATGGGGATTAGTGGGAATTTCTGTGATTTGTGTAATCCAACACAATGTTCTCGATCCCAGTATTTTGAGTGAGGTACTGAGCACTCCATCATGAATGCAATCCATACACAATCAATAGGACTCACTTGCAATATTCTGGCTCCCTACAGTGCATTCGGGTAAGTATTCAGACCCATTGACTTTTCCCACATTTTATTACGTTACAGCCTTATTCTAAAATGGACTACATTAATGTTTTTCCTCATCAATCTACAGACAGTACCCATAATGTCAAAGCGATAACAGGTTTAGACATTTTTGCACATTTAGAAACAAAACAACAGAAACCTTACTTACATAAGTAAGTATTCAACCCTTTGCTATGATACTCAAAATTGAGCTCAGGTGCAACCTGTTTCCATTGATCATCCTTGAGATGTTTCTACAACTTGGAGTCCACCTGTGGTAAATTCAATTGATTGGACATGATTTGGAAAGGCACACACCTGTTTATATAAGGTCCCACAGTTGACAGTGCATGTCAGAGCAAAAACCAAGCCATGAGGTTGAAGGAATTGTCCGTAGAGCTCCGAGACAGGATTGTGTCGAGGCACAGATCTGGGGAAGAGTACCAAAACATGTCTCCAGCATTGAAGGTCCCCAAGAACACAGTGGCCTCCATCATTCTTAAATGGAAGAAGTTTGGAACTACCAAGACTCTTCCTAGAGCTGGCCGCTTGGCCAAACTGAGCAATCGGGGGAGAAGGGCCTTTGTTATTATAGGTGTGCTAAGCTTGTAGCGTCATACCCAAGAAGGCTCGAGGATGTAATCGCTGCCAAAGGTGCTTCAACAAAGTACTGAGTACTTCAATATTGTGATATTTCAGATTTTTATTTTGCTGCTAAAATTTCTAAAAACCTGTTGTTGCTTTGTCATTATGGGGTATTGTGTGTGTGTATATTGATGAGGGGGAAAACAACTATTTAATCCATTTTAGAAAAATCTGTAGTGTAACAAAATGTGGAAAAAGTCAAGGGGTCTGAATACTTTCCGAATGCACTGTATGTTCTCAACATAGAATTACATATAGAACACTGAATTATTATAGGATCTCTTGGTGGTCACTTTCAATGTTTTGATGTTTCTAAAAACTGATGTGCTGAGAGGCCTTCATTGTGTGAATACAGTCCATACATGCACTCTCCCCCATATGTATTTGGACAGTGAAGCATTTTTTGGGGGGGGCTCTGTACTGCACAATTTTGCATTTGAGATCAAATGTTTCATATGAGGCGACAGTACAAAATATCACCTTTTATTTAAGGGTATTTTCATACATATGTTTTACTGTTTAGAAATGAAAGTCCTCTGTAGCTCAGTTAGTAGCGCATGACTCTTGCAACGCCAGGATAGTGGGTTTGATTCCTGGGACCACCCATACGTAAAACATTTATGCGTTTATGACTGTAAGTCGCTTTGGATAAAAGCGTCTGCTAAATGGCAATTTTTATTATTATTATTATTATTATTATTATTATTATATTTAATCGCCCCCATGTGAAGTCATAAGTATTTGGACAAATTCACTTATATGGTAATTAATGCACGAAATGACTACATAAAGTTTGTGACTCAACAAACTCGTTGGATGCATTTGCAGTTTGTTTTGGTTATGTTTTACCCAATAGTAACTGAATGGCGACTGGAGTAATTGTCAACAACGTTGACATCAGCAAACCGTTCGCCCACCACATACACGTGGTCTGCGGTTGTGAGGCCGGTTGTACGTACTGCGAAATTCTCTAAAACAACGTTGGAGGTGGCTTATGGTAGAGAAATGAACATTAAATTCTCTGGCAACAGCTCTGGTGGACATTCCTGCCTTTTATTGTCCCCAGAACCAGTGTAATGATCATGCTTCTTGATATGCCACACCTGTCAGGTGGATGGATTATCTTGGCAAAGGATAAATTCTCACTAACAGGGATGTAAACAAATATGTCCACAGAATTTGAGAGAAATAAGGTTTCTGGGATCTTTTATTTCAGCTCATGAAACATGGGACCAACACTTAACATGTTGTGTTTATATTTCTGTTCAGTGTATATGTATGAAAATACCCTCACATAAAAGCTGACATTCTCTACTGTCGCCTCATATGAAACAAAATGTGCTTCACTGTCCAAATACATGTGGAGGGGAGTATAATCAGTATGTAAATAATGCAACTACTCTGGGTTTATTGTGACATGTTCAATCGTGCTTTGGTGTTGTGGTAAGAAAGGCTTAGCATTGAAACCTCTGTACAAATCTAAACCTTGAAATTAGATTTTGAAGCGTGATTGTTGATGATTCAATGTCCACATATGCTCTTTAGAGATTCATTTTCTTTGTCATCAGATTAGTCATGCATGCTAAATATACAAATGATTGAATTTAAAACACCCCGTTAAAAAAAAAAACAGATTAAATAAATAAACAGCCAGCATCTATTGTTCAACAAAATAAACACTCTTTTGCTGATCATTGGAAAAAAGTAGCTGGCACATAGTAAAGCAGGGATACTCGGTTGTATCCAAGCCTGGAGGGTGGGACAGAGTACTGCTGGTTTCCAGATTTGAGAGTATCCCTGTATGGAGCTGAGCTCAAGACCAAACTACTGTAGGGCTCACCTGGGCTTGGAAAGAGGAATCTAAAATGGCTCAGGACAAGAAGAGATGGAGGGGGGGGGGGGGGACCTTTTGGAGGCCTTATGTGCCTGTTGCCAACAGTATGACCATGTTTGTCTATCGCTGCCCCCCAGGTACCGGCACTAACGCCTGCTACATGGAGGAGATGCGTCACCTAGAGCTGGTGGAGGGGGACGAGGGGAGGATGTGTGTCAACATGGAGTGGGGGGCGTTCGGGGACGACGGCGCTCTGGATGACCTCCGTACAGACTTCGACCGGGAGATCGACGCCGGCTCCCTCAACCCCGGCAAACAGCTGTGAGTGACAGGCAGACACATGGCCCGCCCTCTACTTCTACTATACCGTCTATTACACTAGTCATCTCTGTCTGTTGCCCAATGCCACCTGGAAAAGATATCAACCTCCAGCTGCCTTGTAGATCCGGCTTGATGTTGAAACTGTCATTTTCAGCTTGTTAACTCTTTAGACCCCAATAGAATTCAAGAATGCTGCTGTAGATTACTGAGAATTTTTACAATAAAGCTAATTTTATCACATTTCAAACCGACATAGCTCAAAAACAAAGAATAAATGACAATTACAAGTTAACTCTGTTTTAAAGAGCACAAACTCTTTAATATGATACCACATTCATTTCAATAGGAATAACACTAATTTCATCTCCCATTGTGTACAGACACACTCACTATAAAAAGAACTAACACTCAAAACAACAAAGAACTCTAAGAGTATTTAAATTGTAGTAAATTTGACCAAATTACTCTAAAAATGTACAAACTATAATATGTTATACTTTGAAATATTATTTACATATACATCGTCAAAAATGTATCAAAAAGTTGACCAGAGGACACTATTCAGAAATTATTTCGAAACCCACACAAAGTAAGCTATTGGATTGGCAAAGATTCTTACTTCTGTTACAATATAAAAATGCAAACAACTATTCAGAGACAATTTCAAAATGTTAGATAACCTCTCCCAATACAATTTAGTAGAGGCCAGGCCTGACACAACTTGTAGAAATAGTACTTTGATGACAATTTAGTGAATTAAACAAGTATTAGCTCGAGAGAGATTCAGAAACACAACAACTGTTCAGATACTATTTTAAAACATACACAATTTACCTATAAGATTTGTAGTAGAAATGAATGTCACACTCACTCACACAAGTGTTTTGTGTTTAGCCTACACCAAACATTTCATGGAAGTTGTTGAAGCATGGCCCCATTCTACAAAGTGGCACAAAATGTAAAAAATAATACTGACAACAATTCAGTAAATGCAACAAGTGTTAGATAGAGGCCGATAAAGAGAGAAGATTAAAAAAACACTAAGTTTTAGGCTAGCTTCAGAATTTTTTGCCGAGATTAGTAGGACAAATTCATATTTTATACTGTCACCTTAGTGTTTGCTTTTAGCCTACAACATGTCATGGAACTTCTGGAAGCACGGCCCCATCCTGCAAAGTGGCACAAAACATAGAGCACCCAAAGGAGGTTTCTACACATCTCCCACTCTTTGCCCTGCGTCCACTCTGGATGCACACCAAACGCCCTCTCTTGCGCCCTTCAAACTGCACCAGGGAGTGGCCTGCTTTCAAATTATGTATTACAACTCGGTCCACTCCCCTTGGTGCCACACTCTTGGCTCCCCGCCACTGTATCCATCACAAAGCGCATGCACAGTTTGCATTTTGAATGCCTTCAGGGACACGCACCTTTTTTGCAATTTTGAGCATCCCTCAAAACACATACTGCCACCATTTCCTGCCGGTCCATCAAATATTCTAGTAGCTCCTGAGCTGGTTGAGATGGTCAACCCTGCCCATTTTCTTGTTGTAATCCAGGACCAGCTCTGGAACAGATAGGAGTTCGTTCTGCCTGTATTTTGATACTGGTTTTAGGGTGTCATTCCCTGAGCTGTTAGAACATAGAAAGTACACCTCCTCTCTCCCTCCATTCCCCTCTCCCTCCTCTTCATCCTCCCTCCAATAATCTCCAACTCCTCATCCCTGCCTTCTGGTGCTGAGCCCTGACTCTCCCAATCACTTCCCTCGCTCTTGTCACGGACCTAGAGTAACAGAGGGGAGGGGGGGGGAGCAGCAACAACAAATAGGATACTATTGTGGTCAGGAACCACTCTCTGTCCCTCTCTCCCTTCCTCTCTTTTTTTCCCTCAACTATACACATACTCTCTTCCTAATAATCACCTCTTAGGGGTTTCCATAATATCTTGTGTGGTAGAGTTACACGCCTCCCATTCCACTCACTCACAGTAAAAAGTATCATCATGATGTTATACAGCACTTTCAGTCAATCAATCAAAATTATTTAATGAAGCCCTTAGTGTCCAGATTGTTTCTCAGTTCATGGTGTACATATACAGTGGTGTGAAAAAGTGTTTGACCCCTTCCTGATTTGTTATTTGTTTGCACGTTTGTCACACTTAAATGTTTCAGATCATCAAACAAATGTAAATATTAGTCAAAGATAACAAGTAAACACAAAATGCAGTTTTGAAATGAAGGTTGTTATTATTAAGGGAAAACAAAATCCAAACCTACATGGCCCTGTGTGAAAAAGTGTTTGCCCCCCCCCGTTATAACACAACTAAACTGTGGTTTATCATACCTGAGTTCAATTCCTCTAGCCACACCCAGGCCTGATTACTGCCACACCTGTTCTCAATCAAGGAATCACTTAAATAGGACCTGCCTGACAAAGTGAAGTAGACCAAAAGATCCTCAAAAGACATCATGCCGAGATCCAAAGAAATTCAGGAACAAATGAGAAAGAAAGTAATTGAGATCCATCAGTCTGAAAAAGGTTATAAAGCCATTTCTAAAGCTTTGGGACTCCAGCGAACCACAGTGAGGGCCATTATCCACAAATGGCGAAAACATGGAACAGTGGTGAACCTTCCCAGGAGTGGCCGGCCGACCAAAATTACCCCAAGAGCGCAGCGACGACTCACCCAAGAGGTCACAAAAGACCCAACAACAACATACAAAGAGCTGCAGGCCTCACTTGCCTCAGTTAAGGTCAGTGTTCATGACTCCACCATAAAAGAGACTGGGCAAAAATGGCCTGCATGGCAGAGTTCCAAGACGAAAACCACTAATGAGCAAAAATAACATTAAGGCTAGTCTCATTTTTGCCAGAAAACATCTTGATGATCCCCAAGACCTTTGGGAAAATACTCTGTGGACTGACGAGACAAAAGTTGGAACTTTTTGGAAGGTGTGTGTCCCATTTACATCTGGCGTTAAAGTTACACCGCATTTCAGAAAAAGAACGTCATACCAACAGTAAAATATGTTGGTGGTAGTGTAATGGTCTGGGCCTGTTTTGCTGCTTCAGGACCTGGAAGGCTTGCTGTGATAAATGGAACCATGAATTCTGCTGTCTACCAAAAAATCCTGAAGGAGAATGTCCGGCCATCTGTTCGTGACCTCAAGCTGAAGCGAACTTGGGTTCTGCAGCAGGACAATGATCCAAAACACACCAGCAAGTCCACCTCCTGAATGGCTGAAGAAAAACAAAATGAAGACTTTGGAGTGGCCTAGTCAAAGTCCTGACCTGAATCCTATTGAGATGCTGTGGCATGACTTTAAAAAGGCAGTTGGTGCTCTCAAACCCTCCAATGTGGCTGAATTACAACGATGAGTGGGCCAAAATTCCTCCACAGCGCTGTAAAAGACTCATTGCAAGTTATCGCAAACGCTTTATTGCAGTTGTTGCTGCTAAGGGTGGCCCAACCAGTTATTAGGCTGTATGGGGCAATCACTTTTTCACACCGGGCCATGTGGGTTTGGATTTTGTTTTCCCTTAATAAGAACAACCTTCATTTCAAAACTGCATTTTGTGTTTATTTGTTATCTTTGACTAATATTTACATTTGTTTGATCTGAAACATTTTAAATGTGACAAACATGCAAACAAATAAGAAATCAGGAAGGGGGCAAACACTTTTTCACACCACTGTATATGTCAGACTGATGGATAATCAGACAGGATAGAGCACACAAAAAGACGTTCATGGATGACCAGCAGGGTTAGCTGATTAGTTATGAAGCTGGGACAGTTTCCAAATTAATAGCATCGGTAGAAACAGGACAAAACAAGCAACTTGTTAGCTGGCTATGCAAACAAATATCACTGCAACTCAATATCATATGAGCTCCACTGTGCGGGCTTCTACCATAACACGACAGCTAAGATGTCAAATTTGAGGAAAACAATGCATATCTGTACCTAGCAAACATGACAAACCATAACCTAAGCCCAACAGATAAACACAACATTTCCCTGATCTCCATTTCGGCAGCTAGTTAACTGATTGTCTGCATGGCTAGCTAGTGAAAGTGACAGCTGAGGTTGACACGCTGCGAGCGCAGGCCAAATTTACCACCAAACATATTTTCTGGCCAGACCAGCTAGCTAGCAAGCTATAGCAAGCAGCTTGGGCTGTTTCCATATGAATTACATCGGTAGAATCAATACTAAACAACCAACTAGTTAGCTGACTATATACAGCTAAACACCAACTATTTCCATGAGACAGAGAGCAATCATTGGAGCTCCACCACTGATGTGCTCGCCTGTACCAACCAAGTATGACAGGATTTGTGTGTGTGTGTAGGTTTGAGAAGATGATCAGTGGGATGTACATGGGGGAGCTGGTGCGTCTCATCCTGGTGAAGATGGCCAAGGAGGACCTGGTGTTCAAGGGTCACACCACTCCAGACCTCCTCACCACCGGACACTTCCAGACCAGCTTCGTCTCCGCCATCGAAAACGACAAGTCAGTAGTATGAGTGTGTGTACAATATATGTGTGAGACTGTGGGCCTATTTAATCAAAGTATAAAATAATAGATGACATGGAACTTTCTTTGACTCTGTCTTGTGTCTTGATATAACTTGGTTGATAATAATGAATATGATGATGCTGCTGATGATAATAATGAATATGATGCTGCTGCTGATGATGATGCTGCTGATGATAATGATGATGCTGCTGATGATAATGAATATGATGCTGCTGCTGATGATAATTCATATGATGATGATGCTGCTGATGATAATGAATATGATGATGCTGCTGATGATGATAATGAATATGATGCTGCTGATGATGATGATGAGCAAGTACCAAACCTAATGTTATACTTTTTAAGCTGGTATGTAACTGAGGTGGTGGTTTCTTTCTGACAGAGACCAGGAGGGTCTGGTGAGTGCAGAGAAGGTGCTGAGGGGGCTGGGCCTGGACCCATCTGGGGAGGACTGCGTGGCCACTCAGAGGGTGTGTCAGGTGGTGTCGATGCGGGCCGCCCACCTGTGTGCTGCCACGCTAGTCTCTGTGTTGAGACAGATCAGAGACAACAAGGCTGCAGAGAGGCTGAGGACAACCATAGGAGTGGACGGCTCTGTCTACAAGAACCACCCACAGTGAGTGGAGCAGTCTTCGTGGACAAGTGTGTGTCGCGTGTGTTTTAGCCCAAGTGTGTGTGAGCTTTGAGATGTTCCCGCCAATTCAGAATAGAACAGATGAAGTGTTGCACTTGACATGGCACTTAACATATTTTACTAGACACTCAGGTAATCTACATCTTCTCTGTGACACACCACTCCGGGTTACTACTCACTGAAGTATAGAAGAAGTGCTCTTACTTCAATGGCATTAAAATGAACTAAACTAGAGTGCACAGTGTAATTACAGTGGAACTGACCCTCGGATCTCAAGTGGCAGTCAAGAATTTGGTTGGTTTTTCAGTTCACCCTGTTCTTCTACAGATGTTGGACTTTAATTTGATCACCCTGTTGTTCCAGGAAATTCCCTGCTGCAAACGTTTAGTGTATTAGTTTAAAAGGCTTTGTAATTTCCACTTAACTTGATTTCCCCTAACAAAAAATGTATCCATCCCTACAAAAATGTCCATTAATTATAATCCACACACTAATTCAGATTTCCTGTTGCTGCAGGGTTATTTTCCTGCTGTGAGAAACTGGTCAAATTAAGATCCTACACCTTTATGTAAAATAAGACCTTCAAATCAAGTGCTACCATTTCCCTCCTCTCCTCTCTCCCTTGTGGACACACTGTAGATCTCAAGCAGAGCAAGGCTCAAATACACTACTACTCCAGTCCTTTCATCACATCGAAAATGAAATGCAATTGCAAAACATTTCATTCAAATGTATTCAGACTCAATTTGACACTCAATCTACAACTCCCTGAGTTTCACACCAGAGCCATGACTCACTGTGAAGTATAGGAATTTTCCTAGAATAAACTATACTGTCGTATCCTCACATGGTCTCTCCTATCATTGCTATGCGGATGACACTCAACTACTTTTCTCCTTCCCCCTTTCTGACACCCAGGGAGCGACACGCATCTCTGCGTGCCTGGCAAATATCTCAAATTGGATGTCGGCCCACCACCTCAAGCTCAACCTCAATAAGATGGAACTGCTCTTCCTCCCGGGGAAGGCCTGCCCGCTCAAATACCTCTCCATCACGGTTGACAACTCCACAGTGTCGCCCTCCCAGAGTGCAAAAAACCTTGGCGTGACCCTGGACAACACCCTGTCGTTCTCTGTAAACATCAAAGCAGTGACCCGCTCCTGCAGGTTCAGGCTCTACAACATCTGTAGAGTACGACCCTACCTCACACAGGAAGCGGCGCAGGTCCTAATCCAGGCACTTCTCTCCCGTCTGGACTACTGCAACTCACTGCTGGCTGGGCTCCTACCCCTACAGGAGGGTAGCTCCCGCTCAGCCCAGTCCAAGCTCTTCTCTGTCCTGGCAACCCGATGGTGGAACTAGCTTCCCCCTGAAGCTAGGACAGCAGAGTCCCTGCCCATTTTCCAAAATCATCTGAAACCCTACCTCTTCAAACAGTATTTTAAATAATCCTCCTCCTCACCTCCGTTAGTGAGCATTTCTCCTTTGCCAAGATAATCCAGGTGTGGCATATCAAGAAGCTGATTAAACAGCATGATCATTACACAGATGCACCTTGTGCTGGGGACAATAAAAGGCCACTCTAAAATGTGCAGTTTTGTCACACAACACAGTGTCACAGATGTCTCATGTTTTGAGGGAGTGTGCAATTGGCATGCTAACAGCAGGAATGTCCACCAGAGCTGTTGCCAGAGAATTGAATGTTCATTTCTCTACGTCGTTTTATAAAAATGTGGCACTGTCCAACCGGCCTCACAATCGCGTATGGCGTCATGTGGGCGAGCGGTTTGCTGATGTCAACGTTGTGAACAGAGTACCCCATGGTGGGGTTATGGTATGTGCAGGCATAAACTACAGATAATTAACACAATTGCCTTTTTATCAATGGCAATTTGAATGCACAAAAATACTGTGACAAGATCCTGAGGCCTATTGTGAGGCCCTTTTTTTTTAAAGGTATCTGTGACCAACAGCTGCATATCTGTGAGGGGAATTACAATGGAAATGACCCTTAAACCTCAAGTGCCAGTTAGTGACAGGACCAAGTAATGAATGGTTTATACATGCATGTATTCACTAATAAGAAACATGAATAAATTATATTTAATTTACGAACAGTTTACTGATAGCTAATAAAACTTTTAATAACATTTGTATATGCTTAAAGTAAAGTTGTGCCTCTCTTCGCCCAGGTTTGCGCGGCGGCTCCACAAGATGGTGCGGCGGCTGGTGCCAGACTGCGACGTACGTTTCCTGCGCTCAGAGGACGGCAGCGGGAAGGGCGCGGCCATGGTGACGGCGGTGGCGTACCGGCTGGCTACCCAGCATGCCGAGCGGCAGCGTATACTGGACACCCTGCGTCTGAGCCGGGAGCAGCTGCTGGAGGTGAAGTGCAGGATGGGAGAGGAGATTAACAGAGGCCTGGCCAAGGAGAGTCATGACCAGGCCACCGTCAAGATGCTGCCCACCTACGTCCGCTCCACCCCCGACGGCACAGGTAAGGTCAGGAGAGGAGGGGGAGAGAAGAGGAAGGGGTGGTATCTGCGGGAGAATCTCAATTGCATTTCCTTGTGTCCTCTCGCCTCCTCAAAAACCATTGGATTAGAAGGTTGGAGGGGAGGGAGATGGGAGGAGTATGTGTGTCTGGGAGGAGATAGAGCCATAAAATGTTAATTGAAGGGTACCCACCATGGGCCTTGATAATCCTTGAAAGTTTTAGGATTTTAGAAAGGCCTTGATTGAACATCCTGGAAAATAGACAGATGTCCTTGGCAGAACTATAGCAGGAGACTGAGGAGTAGGAAGCCTTAAGCTGTTACATGTAGTTAAGAATTTACCAAATCAATACACCAATTCTACAGTCCAGCTGTACCTAGGATTTGTATGTGTGGGTGGTCAGCCAGCAATCAGAGGGTTACCGGTTGGAAATTCAGGGCTGACAAAAAGTCTGCCAGGATGTGAACACCTACTGCCGTTGTGTCCTTAAACAAGGCACATAATCCCCAAACTATAAGTATAATATTAAAACATGTAGGAGTGTTATCGTGCTTGCTTAGCTACTCTCCTCATTGTCTGACTCATTGAACTTATCAGAGCATGGTGACTTCTTGGCCCTGGACCTGGGTGGGACCAACTTCCGAGTTCTGCTGGTGCGCGTGCGGGGAGGGAAGAGACGCAGCGTGGAGATGCACAACAAGATCTACGCCATCCCCCAGGAGGCTATGCAGGGCACTGGAGAGGAGGTAAACCGTAAATGTCCGTCTCGATGGACAATAAAGTTGTGTTATAGGTAGAGCACACAGTCCCACTGCATTGGTCATTTGACAACTCTCTGTCTGTCTGTTCTCTGTCAGCTGTTTGACCACATAGTGCACTGCATCGCTGACTTCCTGGAGTACATGGGTATGAAAGGAGCTTCCTTGCCCCTCGGCTTCACCTTCTCCTTCCCCTGCCATCAGAACAAACTGGACCAGGTAACAAAGCAAACACGCACACACAAAACTCAATGCATTTACATAGTTTTTGTATGGATTGAACCAGTGCTGAACCTCTCAGACAAAACGTTGAAAACACTTGAACAGTCAACGTGCTCTGTCTGCACCTGTTCATTGAAAGGGCAAAGCTAGGAAGGACAAGTGTTGACAGGAGTGGGCGAAGTGCATCACATGGTCTATTCACACATTCTATAGGCGCCTGTAGCCTGCGATCCTGACATAGCATAGACTAACCAACACTCTGCTCAGGACCAGGTAAAGATGCCCATCCCCCGCCCTCCTAATGTGATGTCCATTCCTCCTCCTCAGGGTATCCTGATAAAGTGGACCAAGGGTTTCAAAGCTACCGGCTGCGAGGGAGAGGATGTTGTGTGTCTACTGAAGGATGCTATCCACCGCAGAGAGGTTAGAGGTCACACCCACCCACTGGGCTTAGTCACAATCCGACACTGCCCAGAATCAAAACGCTGTTACATATTACAGTACCTGTAGGATGTCAAATCCTTTAAAAATTGGATATGATACCATGAAAGTACACCAACCGTAACCTTTTTGGAATTTCATATTAAAGTATACCAATCTCAAATCTGAAATCCTTTGGTTATGAAAAGGGTTCCATGTTAGTGATCCGTAAGTCCTTGTGTTGATGTTTTTGTAGGAGTTTGACCTGGACGTGGTTGCCGTGGTGAATGACACGGTGGGCACCATGATGACCTGTGGCTACAAAGACCCACTGTGTGAGGTGGGCCTCATCGTAGGTGAGTCTCCGATAGCCTACTGTATGTGCCTTCTGGACCACAAGCACAGGCTGTAAGAAATCAACAACTGCCTTCCTTTTATTTAAGTGAGTGTCTGTCGCTCTCTCTTTCACACACATACACACACTCACTCACACATTTCCCGTCACTCCAGGTACTGGCACCAATGCCTGCTACATGGAGGAAATGCAGAATGTGGAGCTGGTGGAGGGGGACGAGGGGAGGATGTGTGTTAACATGGAGTGGGGGGCCTTTGGGGACCACGGGGAGCTGGACGACTTCAGCACAGACTTCGACAGAGCCGTGGACGACTGCTCCACCAACCCTGGCAAACAGAGGTAGGCTATTACTGTTTGTTTACAATTGGAAAGAAAGAAAGAAAGAAAGAAAGAAAGAAAGAAAGAAAGAAAGAAAGAAAGAAAGAAAGAAAGACTTTAGGTGGGGTGCTGATTTAAATTAAATCTCTCCTTCCTGTGGTCTATTGGACTGTTTGTTAAAGTTGATGTATGTATCTTTGGAGACTGGGATTAGGGTTGCAAAGGGAGGGTATATTAATGGAAACTTTCTAATTGTACCAGTATACCAGTATGTAATCTATCACAGGACATCTAGTGGCCCGTTAGTGTACTTCAGATTATCACAGGTGTCTAATTATCTCTGGCCCTCTGTGTGGCCTTATCACATGTAAAATCTATTAAATAAGATGATTTTAAAACAAAAAATAGAATGACAAAGCTGTAAAATATTATTCTAAATATAAACCATCAATTTAGTGAATTCCATTGGTGTTTAATATGAGGGTTTTAGCATGAAATATCCTTTATTTACACACTTTTTAAATGTATTTTACTATGTCAATGTATTTGTTAATGTTTTGGAGTTAAACTGGTGGCAGTTGTGAAACTAGTAAATAGTTGGAAGAGTTGCAGAGTTAATAGAAAAGAATGACATTGTTGATTTATTTTTTATTATTAATTATGCTATTTTCTCGAACATATGGGCTATTTACTAGAAAACCATGGACAATATGGACAGAGATATAAGAAATGAATAATACATTGAACAAAAATATAAATACAACATGTAAAGTGTTGGTCCCATGTTTCATGAGCTGAAATAATAATAATAGATCCCAGAAATATTTCATACACACAAAAAGCTTATTTCTCTCAATTTTTGTGTACAAATTTGTTTACATCCCTTTTAGTGAGCATTTCCAGAAAAATTGCACATTGAGCTCACAGAAAACCCCAGAAAGATTAACCAATTGAACCAACATTGGTCAATTTTCTTTTTAAGAATGAAAAAATTACCTAAATTCCGGTTAAATTCAGTCACACATTGTCTTTACCCAACAGAGTTAGACCTAGAAATATCTAGCAAACTCCCATACCTGACCCAGATGTTCATCCCAGCATCAACAGTCTTTTCTCCGTGTATATCAATGATGTCGCTCTTGCTGCTGGTGACTCTCAGATCCACCTCTACACAGACGACACCATTTTGTATACAACTGGCCCTTCATTGGACACTGTGTTAACAAACCTCCAAACGAGCTTCAATACCATACAACACTCCTTCCGTAGCCTCCAACTGCTCTTAAACACTAGTAAAACTAAATGCATGCTCTTCAATCGAACGCTGCTGGCACCCGCCCACCCGACTAGAATCACTATTCTCGACGGGTCTGACCTAGAGTATGTGGACAACTACAAATACCTAGGTGTCTGGTTAGACTGTAAACTCTCCTTCCAGACTCACATTAAGCATCTCCAATCCAAAGTGAAATCTAGACTCAGCTTCCTATTTCGCAACAAAGCCTCCTTCACTCATGCCGCCAAACATGCCCTCGTAAAACTGACTATCCTACCGATCCTTGACTTCGGCGATGTCATTTACAAAATAGCCTCTAACACTCTACTCAGCAAATTGGATGTAGTCTATCACAGTGCCATCCGTTGTCACCAAAGCCCCATATACTACCCACCACTGTGACCTGTACGCTCTTGTTGGCTGGTCCTCACTACATATTCGTCGCCAAACCCACTGGCTCCAGGCCATCTATAAATCACTGCTAGGCAAATCTCTGCCTTATCTTAGCTCATTGGTCACCATAGCAACACCCACCCTTAGTATGCGCTCCAACAGGTATATCTCACTGGTCATCCCCAAACCCAACACCTCCTTTGGCCGCCATTCCTTCCAGTTCTCTGCTGCAAATGACTGGAACGAACTGCAAAAATCTCTGAAGCTGGAGACTCTTATCTCCCTCACTATCTTTAAGCATCAGTTGTCAGAGCAGCTTACCGATCACTGCACCTGTACACAGCCCATCTGTAATTAGCCCACCCAACTACCTCATCCCCATATTGTTATTTACATTGTTACATTGTTATTTATTTTGCTCATTTGCACCCCAGTATCTCTATTTGCACATCATCTTCTGCACATCTGTCAATCCAGTGTTAATACTAAATTGTAACTATTTTGCACTATGGCCTATTTATTGCCTTACCTCCATAACTTACTACATTTGCACACACTGTATATAGATTTTCTATTGTGTTATTGACTGTACGTTTTGTTTTACCCCATATGTAACTCTGTTGTTTTTATCGCACTGCTTTGCTTTATCTTGGCCAGGTCGCAGTTGTCAATGAGAACTTGTTCTCAACTGGCTTACCTGGTTAAATATATATATATTTTTTAATCTGTATTCTCAGTCATGTGAAATCCATAGATTAGGGCCTAATGAATTTATTTAAATTGACTGATTTTCTTTTATGAGCTGTAACTCAGTAAAGTCTTTGAAATTGTTGCATGTTGCGTTTATATTTTTGTTCTCTCTCTGTGTGTGTGTGTGTGCAGTGCATTCGGAAAGTATTGACCCCTTTACTTTTTCCACATTTTGTTACGTTACAGCCTTATTCTAAAATGGATTAAATTGTTTTTTCCCCCCTCATCAATCTACACACAATACCCCATAATGACAAAGCAAAAACAGGTTTTTAGAATGTTTTGCAAATCTATTAAAAATAAAAAACTGAAATATCAGTTTTCAGACACTTTACTTAGTACTTTGTTGAAACACCTTCAGCAACGATTACAGCCTCGAGTCTTCTTGGGTATGATGCTACAGTGGGGAAAAAAAGTATTTAGTCAGCCACCAATTGTGCAAGTTCTCCCACTTAAAAAGATGAGAGAGGCCTGTAATTTTCATCATAGGTACACGTCAACTATGACAGACAAATTGAGATTTTTTTTCTTCAGAAAATCACATTGTAGGATTTTTTATGAATTTATTTGCAAATTATGGTGGAAAATAAGTATTTGGTCACCTACAAACAAGCAAGACTTCTGGCTCTCACAGACCTGTAACTTCTTCTTTAAGAGGCTCCTCTGTCCTCCACTTGTTACCTGTATTAATGGCACCTGTTTGAACTTGTTATCAGTATAAAATACACCTGTCCACAACCTCAAACTGACACACTCCAAACACCACTATGGCCAAGACCAAAGAGCTGTCAAAGGACACCAGAAACAAAATTGTAGACCTGCACCAGGCTGGGAAGACTGAATCTACAATAGGTAAGCAGCTTGGTTTGAAGAAATCAACTGTGGGAGCAATTATTAGGAAATGGAAGACATACAAGACCACTGATAATCTCCCTCGATCTGGGGCTCCACGCAAGATCTCACCCCGTGGGGTCAAATTGATCACAAGAACGGTGAGCAAAAATCCCAGAACCACACGGGGGGACCTAGTGAATGACCTGCAGAGAGCTGGGACCAAAGTAACAAAGCCTACCATCAGTAACACACTACGCCGCCAGGGACTCAAATCCTGCAGTGCCAGATGTGTCCCCCTGCTTAAGCCAGTACATGTCCAGGCCCGTCTGAAGTTTGCTAGAGTGCATTTGGATGATCAGGAAGAGGATTGGGAGAATGTCATATGGTCAGATGAAACCAAAATAGAACTTTTTGGTAAAAACTCAACTCGTCGTGTTTGGAGGACAAAGAATGCTGAGTTGCATCCAAAGAACACCATACCTACTGTGAAGCATGGGGGTGGAAACATCGTGCTTTGGGGCTGTTTTTCTGCAAAGGGACCAGGACGACTGATCCGTGTAAAGGAAATAATGAATGGGGCAATGTATCGTGAGATTTTGAGTGAAAACCTCCTTCCATCAGCAAGGGCATTGAAGATGAAACGTGGCTGGGTCTTTCAGCATGATAATGATCCCAAACACACCGCCCGGGCAACGAAGGAGTGGCTTCGTAAGAAGCATTTCAAGGTCCTGGAGTGGCCTAGCCAGTCTCCAGATCTCAACCCCATAGAAAATCTTTGGAGGGAGTTGAAAGTCCGTGTTGCCCAGCAACAGCCCCAAAACATCACTGCTCTAGAGGAGATCTGCATGGAGGAATGGGCCAAAATACCAGCAACAGTGTGTGAAAACCTTGTGAAGACATACAGAAAACGTTTGACCTGTGTCATTGCCAACAAAGGGTATATAACAAAGTATTGAGAAACTTTTGTTATTGACCAAATACTTATTTTCCACCATAATTTGCAAATAAATTCATAAAAAATCCTACAATGTGATTTTCGGAAAAGATTTTTCTCATTTTGTCTGTCATTGTTGACGTGTACCTATGATGAAAATTACAGGCCTCTCATCTTTTTAAGTGGGAGAACTTGCACAATTGGTGGCTGACTAAATACTTTTTTCCCCCACTGTATAAGCTTGGCACACCTGTATTTGGGGAGTTTCTCCCATTCTTCTCTGCAGATCCTCTCAAGCTCTGTCTGGTTGGATGGTTGGATGGGGAGCGTCGCTGCACAGCTATTTTCAGGTTTCGCCAGAGATGTTCGATTGGGTTCAAGTCCGGGCTCTGGCTGGGCCACTCGAAGACATTGAGACTTGTCCTGAAGCCACTCCTGCGTTGTCTTGGCTGTGCACTTAGGTTCGTTGCCTCAGTCTGAGGTCCTGAGCACTCTGGAGCAGGTTTTCATCAAGGATCTCTGTACTTTGCTCTGTTCATCTTTCATTCGACCCTGACTAGTCTCCCAGTCCCTGCCGCTGAAAAACTATGGATGGTGCCAGGTTTCCTCCAGACGTGGCGCTTGGCATTCAGGCCAAAGAGGTCAATCTTGGTTTCATCAGACCAGAGTATCTTGTTTCTCATGGTCTGAGAGTCCTTTAGGTGCCTTTTGGCAAACTCCAAGTGGGCTGTCATGTGCCTTTTATTGAGGAGTGGCTTCCGTCTGGCCACTCTAAAAACCTGTTTTCGCTTTGTCATCATGGGGTATTGTGTGTAGATTGAGGAAAAAAATATATGTAATCAATTTTAGTATAACGCTGTAACGTAACAATATGTGGAAAATGGGAAGGGGTCTAAATACTTTCCGAATGCGCTGTGTTTGTATGTGTACATTTTAGAATAATAGTGAAGACATCAAAACTATGAAATAACACATTTGGAATCATGTAGTAACCAAAAAAGTGTTAAAGAAATTAAAATATATTCTATATTTGAGATTCTTCAAATAGCCACCCTTTACCTTGCTGACAGCTTTGCACACTCTTGGCTTTCTCTCAACCATCTTCATGAAGTAGTCACCTGGAATGCATTTCAATTAACAGGTGTGCCGTTTTAAAAGTTAATTTGTGGAATTTCTTTCCTTCTTAATTCGTTTGAGCCAGTCAGTTGTGTTGTGACAAGGTGGGGGGCTGTACAGAAGATAGCCCTATTTGGTAAAAGACCAAGTCCATATTATGGCAAGAACAGCTCAAATAAGCAAAGAGAAACAACAGTCCATCATTACTTTAAGACATGAAGGTCAGTCAATCTGGAAGATTTCAATAACTTTTAAAGTTTCTTCAAGTGCAGTCGCAAAAACCATCAAGCGCTTTGATGAAACTGGCTCTCATGAGGACCGGAATGGAATGGAAGACCCAGAGTTAACTCTGCTGCAGAGGATAAGTTCATTAGAGTTCCCAGGCTCAGAAATTGCAGCCCAAATAAATGCTTCAGAGTTCAAGTAACAGACACATCTCAACATCAACTGTTCAGAGGAGACTGTGTGAATCAGGCCTTCATGGTCAAATTGCTGCAAAGAAACCACTACTGAAGGACACCAATAATAATAAGAGACTTGCTTGGGCCAAGAAACACGAGCAATGGACATTAGACCGGTGGAAATATGTCCTTTGGTCTGATGAGTCCAAATTTGAGATTTTTGGTTCCAACCGCCATGTCTTTGTGAGACTCGTGTGGGTGAACGGATGATCTCCGCATATGTATTTCCCACTGGAAAGCATGGAGGAGGAGGTGTTATGGTGTGGGGGTGCTTTGCTGGTGACACTGTCTGTGATTTATTTAGAATTCAAGGCACATTTAACCAGCATGGCTACCACAGCATTCTGCAGCGATACGCCATCCCATCTGGTTTGGGCTTAGTGGGACTATCATTTGTTTTTCAACGTGACCCAATACACCTCCAGGCTGTGTAAGGGCTATTTGTCCAAGAAGGAGAGTGATTGAGTGCTGCATCAGATGACCTGGCCTCCACAATTCCCCGACCTCAACCAAATTGAGATGGTTTGGGATGAGTCGGACGGCAGAGTGAAGGAAAAGCAGCCAACAAGTGCTAAGCATATGTGGGAACTCCTTCAAGACTGTTGGAAAAGCATTCCAGGTTAAGCTGGTTGAGAGAATGCCAAGAGTGTCAAAGCTGTCATAATGGCAAAGGGTGGCTATTTGAAGAATCTCAAATAAAAAATATATTTTGATTTGTTTAACACTTTTTTGGTTACTACATGATTCCATGTGTTATTTCATAGTTTTGATGTCTTCACTATTATTCTAGAATGTATAAAATAGTAAAAATAAAGAAAAACCCTTGAATGAGTAGGTGTTATAAAACGTTTGACCGGGTGTGTGTGTGTGTATATATATGTATGTATGTATGTATGAATGTATATATTTTTTTTTTTTAGTTATTATGTTAATTACCAAAATTGCAGAAGAATCCGGTAACTTTAGTAAATTACCTCTCTCTCTCTCTCTCTCTCTCTCTCTCTCTCTCTCTCTCTCTCTCTCTCTCTCCTCTCTCTCTCTCTCTCTCTCTCTCTCTCTCTCTCTCTCTCTCTCTCTCTCTCTCTCTCTCTCTCTCTCTCTCTCTCTCTCCTCTCTCTCTCTCTCTCTCTCTCTCTCTCTCTCTCAGGTATGAGAAGATGATCAGTGGGATGTACCTTGGGGAGATAGTGAGGAGCGTACTGCTGGAGTTCACTGCTAAGGGACTTCTGTTCCGAGGCAAACTCTCTGAGAGGCTCAAGACCAGAGGCATCTTTGAAACCAAGTTCCTCTCCCAGATCGAGAGGTGAGTCTGTGTCAGTTTGTTTGTCTGGGAATGTTTGTGGCAATTACACCTTCAGTAAATTTTTAGTGTTGATGTCTGATGAGCAAAAGGAAGATTTGGGAAAGTGTGTCACTAAAGACGTTAACAGTCATGGTGGGAGCAACGTGTGAATCCCTTTTTCTGGGTATCAAAGCTATTGGATTTGACACCAAAATGTCTAGCATAGGATGGAGAACAATGTGTGCACTTCATGTTCACAAAATGTGTTGATTTGATATAGATGTTGATATTTACTTGACTGTTGTCTAACAGTCAGTGCCTGTCTCTCCCTCACTCTCCCCCCCTTGTCAGTGACCGTCTGGCCCTGAGGCAGGTGCGCTCCATCCTGCAGCACCTGGGTCTGACCAGCTCTACGTGTGACGACAGTATCCTGGTGAAGGAGGTGTGCAGCGTGGTGGCTCGCCGCGCAGCCCAGCTCTGTGGTGCCGGCCTGGCCGCTGTGGTCGATAAGATCCGGCAGAACCGCAACCTCCCCGAGCTCAAAATCACAGTGGGTGTCGATGGAACACTCTACAAACTACATCCACAGTGAGTGGTTATTAGATAGTATTATCACAAAAAGACAGTCAGGTTAAAGCTATACTCCATGGGCTGTATTCATGAATCATCTCAGAGTACGAGTGCTGATATAGGGTTTAGCCTTTTCGATTACAATGAAAAACATTATATAGACTGGGTGTACTCTCCTACTCCTAGATCAGCACTGTTATTCGTACACTTTTTGAATACGGGCCCAGACGTTAATTGCACATTTAACTGTAGGCAGCTGGTAGTTTTAGTTTATAGCCTTTACTTTGCTCATACTTTTTTCTTTATTATCTTACTGAATCTATGAATAAAATGAGCCAAAAGGAGAAACAATGAGAAACTCTAACCTAAGTTCTTCTGCGATGCTCTGTTTCCATGGTTTCCATTTCGTGGTTACGTAGGTAGAATTGTGTAAATGCCAACATCAATCAAGTTAATGAAAATGTTACGCAGGGTTTATTTATGCATTTACAAACCTAATCGGTGTGATGTATGGAGTTTAATTGGAGTGAGATATAGATATATGCAGTGCCTTCGGAAAGTATTCAGATCCCTTAACTTTTTCCACATTTTGTTAGGTTACAGCCTTATTCTAAAATTGATTAAAGAAAACAATTTCCTCATCAATCTACAGACAATACCCCATAATGACAAAGAGAAAACAGGTTTTTAGAAATTTTTGCACATTTATTAAAAACAAAAAACAGATGCCTTATTTACATAAGTATGCTACGAGACTCGAAATTGAGCTCAGGTGGAAAATGTCGAAAAAGTCAAGGGGTCTGAATACTTTTCGAAGACACTGCATATATCTAAAATGCCAAGAGTGTGCAAAGCTGTCATCAAGGCAAAGGGTGGCTATTTGAAGAAGCTCAAATAGAAAATATATTTTGATTTGTTTAACACTTTTTTGGGGGGGGTTACTACATGATTCCATATGTGTTATTTCATAGTTTTGATGTCTTCACTATTATTCTACAATGTAGAAAATAGTAAAAATAAAGAAAAACCCTTGAATGAGTAGGTGTTCTAAAACTTTTACCCATATATAATAAGCATCTGGGAATCCTAAAGTCTATCCTCAAATACCTTTTAACAGCACCTTCTTACAGTTACTGCATGTACACCTGCCTATGGGTTTGCCTGATTCGCTTGTCCCTGGCCATGTGAACTCACTTCCCCTTCATTCCCTGCAGCTTCTGGTCCATTGTCTATTCTCAGTAAGAACATTCTAACCTGGGACGTGTTGAATGGAGCTGAAGGATGGGACTAATAACTAACAACAAGATAGCTAATGTTAAGCATACTGTGTCCATAATAAGTATATAGGTTATAGGTTGAGAGCTTTTGTGAAAGAGCACAGTTAGAAAGATATGGCATATAGAAGAAAACCGGATGGACATCATGAAAATGATCAGTTGAGGGTAGAAGTTCAGGAGTAAAAAACAAACAAAATATAATTATTGTAAGTTTCCATAAAATGTATATAGTATGTATAAGCTAGAAGTAGAGGCCTAAGCGTTGTTGTTCACTAGTTTACTCCAATTAGGGAAGGGGTGGTGGGGTTGGAAAGTTATAAAGGGAAATATATTTTTTAAAAGGCTATGTATGTATGTATGTATGTATGTATGTATGTATGTATGTGTATTTATTTATTGCGAGAGAAAAAAATATGGGGGATTGGAGGTGATGCTGATCTATCCCCCTTAAAAAAAAAATTATATATATATATATATATATATAAAGTATTTGATCCCCTGCTGATTTTGTACGTTTGCCCACTGACAAAGAAATGATCAGTCTATAATTTTAATGGTAGGTTTATTTGAACAGTGAGAGACAGAATAACAACAACAAAAAATCCACAAAAACGCATGTCAAAAATGTTATAAATTGATTTGCATTTTAATGAGGGGAAAAAAGTATTTGACCCCCTCTCAATCAGAAAGATTTCTGGCTCCCATGTGTCTTTTATACAGGTAACGAGCTGAGATTAGGAGCACTCCCTTTAATAAAGGGAGTGCTCCTAATCTCAGTTTGTTAAAGGGAGTGCTCCTAATCTCAGCTTGTTATCTGTATAAAAGACAGCTGTCCACAGAAGCAATCAATCAATCAGATTCCAAACTCTCCACCATGGCCAAGACCAAAGAGCTCTCCAAGGATGTCAGGGACAAGATTGTAGACCTACACAAGACTGAAATGGGCTACAAGACCATCGCTAAGCAGCTTGGTGAGAAGGTGACAACAGTTGCTGCGATTATTTGCAAATGGAAGAAACACAAAAGAACTGTCAATCTCCCTCGGCCTGGGACTCCATGCAAGATCTCACCTCGTGGAGTTGCAATGATCATGAGAACGGTGAGGAATCAGCCCAGAACTACACGGGAGGATCTTGTCAATGATCTCAAGGCAGCTGGAACCATAGTCACCAAGAAAACAATTGGTAACACACTACGCCGTGAAGGACTGAAATCCTGCAGCGCCTGCAAGGTCCCCCTGCTCAAGAAAGCACATATACAGGGCCGTCTGAAGTTTGCCAATGAACAGAACTGGGTGAAAGTGTTGTGGTCAGATGAGACCAAAATTGAGCTCTTTGGCATCAACTCAACTCGCCGTGTTCGGAGGAGGAGGAATGCTGCCTATGACCCCAAGAACATCATCCCCACCGTCAAACATGGAGGTGGAAACATTATGCTTTGGGGGTGTTTTTCTGCTAAGGGGACAGGACAACTTCACTGCATCAAAGGGACGATGGACGAGGCCATGTACTGTCAAATCTTGGGTGAGAACCTCCTTCCCTCAGCCAGGGCATTGAAAATGGGTCGTGGATGGGTATTCCAGCTTGACAATGACCCAAAACACACGGCCAAGGCAACAAAGGAGTGGCTCAAGAAGAAGCACATTAAGGTCCTGGAGTGGCCTAGCCAGTCTCCAGACCTTAATCCCATAGAAAATCTGTGGAGGGAGCTGAAGGTTCGAGTTGCCAAACGTCAGCCTCGAAACCTTAATGACTTGGAGAAGATCTGCAAAGAGGAGTGGGACAAAATCCCTCCTGAGATGTGTGCAAACCTGGTGGCCAACTACAAGAAACGTCTGACCTCTGTGATTGCCTGCAACATCCTCCAGCATGACCGGTTTGGCGGTGGGTCAGTCATGATGTGGGGTGGCATTTCTTTGGGGGGCCGCACAGCCCTCCATGTGCTCGCAAGAGGTAGCCTGACTGCCATTAGGTACCGAGATGAGATCCTCCGACCCCTTGTGAGACCATATGCTGGTGCGGTTGGCCCTGGGTTCCTCCTAATGCAAGACAATGCTAGACCTCATGTGGCTGGAGTGTGTCAGCAGTTCCTGCAAGAGGAAGGCATTGATGCTATGGACTGGCCTGCCCGTTCCCCAGACCTGAATCCAATTGAGCACATCTGGGACATCATGTCTCGCTCCATCCACCAACGCCACGTTGCACCACAGACTGTCCAGGAGTTGGCGGATGCTTTAGTCCAGGTCTGGGAGGAGATCCCTCAGGAGACCATCTGCCACCTCATCAGGAGCATGCCCAGGCGTTGTAGGGAGGTCATACAGGCACGTGGAGGCCACACACACTACTGAGCCTCATTTTGACTTGTTTTAAGGACATTACATCAAAGTTGGATCAGCTTGTAGTGTGGTTTTCCACTTTAATTTTGAGGGTGACTCCAAATCCAGACCTCCATGGGTTGATAAATTTGATTTCCATTGATAATTTTTGTGTGATTTTGTTGTCAGCACATTCAACTATGTAAAGAAAAAAGTATTTAATAAGATTATTTCATTCATTCAGATCTAGGATGTGTTGTTTAAGTGTTCCCTTTATTTTTTTGAGCAGTGTGTATATAAAAAGACAAAAAAACGAACAAACAAAAAAACATTCTGCCTCATCGCTCTCCTTCTCTCCTCTTCACAGCTTCTCCAGCATCATGCATGAGACGGTCAGGGACCTGGCGCCGCAGTGCGAGGTCACGTTCCTCCAATCAGAGGACGGAAGTGGAAAGGGGGCGGCTCTCATCACGGCGGTGGCCTGTCGCATCCGAGACGCCGGGCAGCGCTGAGCGAGGTGCTCTGGGGACAAGGTCTGCGTCCCAAATGGCACCCTATTTCCTATATAGTGCACTACCTTTGACCAGGGCCCTATGCTCAAACGTAGTGTACTATATAGGGGGCCATTTGGGTAACAACCAAGGGCAGGGTCACAACAGGGACAGCACAGGATGACAAAGGGATATATGAAATGTGCTTGTATGAAATGACTCCTCCTCTCCACTAGTGCATCAAACGTTTAGAGGATGAATCCCAAAATATAATGGAGTTAGTTGTGCGAGACATTTTATAGGTACTAGGATAAGTAGCGTATGGTTTCTTTAATGTGTGCATGGTTTTCTCTAGTTACACATGATAGGTTCAGGGCCAGTATGTCCTGCAGGTACCACTGTTTGTATGGCCACAGCTGTGGCTCTAGGCACATATTCACACATACTTGTGGAACTAAGGGGCCTAGCCCAAACCATTATTCCTCCTCCACCAGACTTTACAGTTGGCACTATGCATTCGGGCAGGTACCGTTCTCCTGGCATCCGCCAAACCCAGATTCGTCCGTCGGACTGCCAGGTAGTGAAGTGTGATTCATCACTCCAGAGAATGCGTTTCAACTGCTCCAGAGTCCAGTGGCGGCAAGCTTTATACTACTCCAGCCGATGCTTGGCATTGCGCATGGTGATCTTGTGTGTATATATACTGTAGGAAGGCTATCATCTAAAAGTGGTAGGCCTACTTCATTTTTAAGCGCGCTTGCACCATCTGGCATGTAGAGTATCTTAAATAAAAATGTAATGCTATTGTGGGAGATGCCATTTGAAGCAGTATATACTCTGAGCTTGTCCTTGACTGTTAGAACATTACATTATTGAAAGAACATTACAAATTCACCTTAGAGAAATTAACGTTTAACAAACTCTTTAAGAGACAACAGTCAGAATGAATGGTAGACACTTTTTTTTCTTTTCTGTTGCGGAATTGGATCTATGGTATTGGTATCCTGAATGGTAAATATTTTATGATGGGCCGGGGTAAACGAGACACCGTCATAACAAAGATTTACCATTCAGTATACCAATACCATAGATTCCATTCTGCAACAGAATAGAAAAAGGACTGAAAGGAATAAAATCCCCAAGTTCACTGTGTTTCCTTTGTCTACACTGTTTCTCAAGGATAGTGCTGTATGAGTCCCAAACTCCGTAATAACCGTGAAAGGAATCAATACAAAGCAGTATCGTGGTATACCCTGACATTGTTAAATTACCAACCATTTATACTGTGTGCCATATTGAGAGTGGACGTAGACGTGTTTTCCTCTTACAAATGAGCTACTTACAGTATACCTAATTTAAGAGGAACTACACTACCAGGTATTTTTGGGGGGGAACGAGAAATGTTTTCTAACCAACTGATATCTGTCATTAATTGTTACATGCTTAAGATTTGTGTGGAGTCTGGGAATGTTTTAATGATCACTTACTCAATAAAGACCAATGGCCACACTCAATATGCACAGAAACTCAGGGCCACACTCAATCTAACGAGGGTCGCAGTGCAGGGTTAGAAATGTATTTTTTGTGAGTTGCAAGAGATCATGTTTTATAATGATATGACATTGGTAAGTTTGAGATGTTTAGCCTTGGCTAGGTTTGTGTTTTGTGCATCTCTTACAAACTGGGTATTCTTGTACAATAAATTCTGGATGAGAATGAATTCCCATCTGCTCACTATTTGACGACTTAGGCATCATATTTTGATAGCAAAATAGCTCAACTACGTATATCCTTGTCTAAAAGGTTCTGTAAAATCTTGTTTTATTATGTGACATGCACCCAGTTTGAAACACCATTGTTACAGGATGAATTGTGCAAAGATTCCCATTGAACCTTTGGCAGGAACTTTTTTTTTGTTGTAAAAGCTGTCATGTCTGATCTTCTTTCAGCCAAACATAAATTATATTCAGCTATTGTTGGCTGCATCTGGCTCCTTCGAAGAATGTGAAGCCACAGACGCCCAGAAAACTTGCATCTTGGCTAGTTTTCTGGGCATGGCTTACAACTACTGTTCCCCCTCACACCTATGCTGCTGCTAAAATGATTATTTATGCGATTTATTACTCTACTGTACATTGTTTGCCATTACCATTAGTACCTATTTATCCTGCTACTGGTCACTATTACTCCTGTTTACATGTATACGTTACCACAAGTATTTATATATTCCTGCTACCAGTCACTTTTCAGCCCTGTTTACATATCCGCATATCATGTCACACTGACACTCTTACTAACGCCCACACACTTACACTTACATACACTCTCACACCCACCCACCACTTATGCTGCTGCCATACTGCTTACTATTATTATAATTTATCCTGCTACCAGTCACTTTCTCCTAATCCCTGCCTACAGGTACATACAGTGCATTCGGAAAGTATTCAGACCCCTTGACCTTTTCCACATTTTGTTACATTGCAGCCTTATTCTAAAATTGATTAATTTATTTTTTCCCCTCATCAATCTACACACAATACCCCATAATGACAAAGCAAAAACAGATTTTTAGAAATTTTTGCACATTTTATTAAAAATATCACATTTACATAAGTATTCAGACCATTTACTCAGTACTTTGTTGAAGCAACTTTGGCAGCGATTACAGCCTTGAGTCTTCTTGGGTATGACGCTACAAGCTTGGCACACCTGTATTTGGGGAGTTGCTCCCATTCTTCTCTGCAGATCCTCTCAAGCTCTGTCAGGTTGGATGGGGAGCGTCGCTGCACAGCTATTTTCAGGTCTCTCCAGATGTTCGATCGGGTTCAAGTGCGGGCTCTGGCTGGGCCACTCAAGGACATTGAGACTTGTCCTGATGCCACTCCTGCATTGTCTTGGCTGTGTGCTTAGGGTCTTTGTCCTGTTGGAAGATGAACCTTTGCCCCAGTCTGAGGTCCTGAGCACTCTGGAGCAGGTTTTCATCAAAGATCTCTCTGTACTTTGCTCCGTTCATCTTTCCCTCAATCCTGACTAGTCTCCCAATCCCTGCCGCTGAAAAACATCCCCGCAGCATTATGCTGCCACCACCATGCTACACCGTAGGGATGGTGCCAGGTTTCCTTCAGACGTGACGCTTCAGGCCAAAGAGTTCAATCTTGGTTTCATCAGACCGGAGAATCTTGTTTCTCATGGTCAGAGTCCTTTAGGTGCTTTTTGGCAAACTCCAAGCGGGCCGCCGTGCCTTTTACTGATGAGTGGCTTCCGTCTGGCCACTACCATGAAGGCCTAATTGGTGGAGTGCTGCAGAGATGGTTGTCCTGGAATGTTCTATATCCACAGAGGAACTCTGGAGCTCTGTCAGAGTGACCATCGGGTTCTTGGTCACCTCCCTGACCAAGGCCATTCTACCCCGATTGCACAGTTTGGCCGGGCGGCCAGCTCTAGGAAGAGTCTTGGTGGTTCCAAACTTCTTTCATTTAAGAATGATGGAGGCCACTGTGTTCTTGGGGACTTTCAATGCTGCAGAAATGTTTTGGTACCCTTCCCCAGATCTGTGCCTCGACACAATCCTGTCTCGGAGCTCTACAAACAATTCCTTCATCCTCATGGCTTGGTTTTTGCTCTGACACGCACTGTCAACTGTGGGACCTTATATAGACAGGTGTGTGCCTTTTCCAAATAATGTCCAATCAATTGAATTTACCACAGGTGGACTCCAATCTAGTTGTAGAAACATCTCAAGGATGATCAATGGAAACAGGATGCACCTGAGCTCAATTTCGAGTCTCATAGCAAAGGGTCTGAATACTTATGTAAATAAGGTATTTGTTTAATTTTTTTCTCAATTTCGAAAAACCTGTTTTCGCTTTGTCATTATGGGGTATTGTGTGTAGATGAGGATTTTTTTTTTTTAAATCAATTTTAGAATAAGGCTGTAACGTAACAAAATGTGGAAAAAGTGAAGAGGTCTGAATACTTTCCGAATGCACTGTATCTACCTCACACTCCAGTGTCTTGTACATTTGGTATTGGCACTGACAATGTTTGTAGCTTCCTCTCATTTCTTATTTCTCCTATTTTCCTTTGCATATATTTTGATATTGATTACTGCACTATTGGGTAGAGCTTGGAAGTTAACCGTGTTAAATGTGCTCACATCCCTGTTGGTGATCTTTTCTCCTTTGTCAAGATAATCCATCCACCTGACAGGTGTGGCATATCAAGGAGCTGATTAAACAGCATGATCATTACACAGGTCACTTTGTGCTGGGGACAATAAAAGGCCACTCTAAAATGTGCAGTTTTGTCACACATAATGCCACAGATGTCTCAAGTTCTGAGGGAGCGTGCTGACTGCAGGAATGTCCACCAGAGCTGTTGCCAGATAATTGAATGTTAATTTCTCTACCATAAGCCACCTCCAATGTCTTTAGAGAATTTGACAGTGCGTTCAACCGGCCTCACAACCGCAGACCACGCGTAACCACGCCAGCCCAGGACCTCTACATCTGGCTTCTTCATCTGCGGGATCGTCTGAGTCCAGCCAGCCGGGCAGCTGATGAAACTGAGGAGTATTTCTGTCTGTAATAAAGCCCTTTTGTGGGGAAAAACGTATTCTTATTGGCTGGGCTTGGGCCTGGCTCCCCAGTGGGTGGGCCTATGCCCAGTCATGTGAAATCCATAGATTAGAGCCTAATGAATTTATTTAAATTGACTATTTACTTTTATATGAACTGTGACCCAGTAAAATCGTTAATTGTTGCGTTTATATTTTTCAATATAGTATCTTCATCAAAACATCTGCATGAGTCGTCAAGACACCTACTCCTTTTATCGATCTTTAAAGAAGATTATTAACAATATAAATATATTTTGCTGCATATTTACAGTACCAGTCAAAAGTTTGGACACACCTACTCATTCAGGGGTTTTTCTTAATTTTTACCATTTTC